ATTTGGATAAATTTAAAATATACTTTTTTAATTATTGAGACTAAAAAAAACTTTTTCCTACAGATATTTAATAAAGCATCTTTCCTAAAAACATTTTTCATAAGAAATAAGTACCTAAATTTATACCTTTATTCTTAGTTCTATATTTCAATACAGCAATCACCACCTCCGGAATCAACTTACTCATATTCTGTATAGATAACTTTTTCAACTAAAAATATCACTAAAATGAGATCACTCAGAAATGTTGAAATTGGAGTTAGTCATTCTAAGGTTTATAAAAGCAAAGAAAGTTGTGTGGTTTATAAAAGCATATGGAGTGACTAGATTTTTATTTCCTGTCGTCGATTTATTAAATAGACATTTTGTAATTATAATGGTCTTAATGACTTGTTATCTGTATGTTTTAAGCTTTAGCTCCATTTAAAATGCACTTCAAAAAAATTTATAATAGCCCAGCATTGCCAGAAAATAATTTCTATTCATAGTAGATCGGTAAGTGTGTTGCGCGCACCAGATTTTTTATATAACAATTCGTTTTTGAGGATTTTAAAGGGCTCTAAAAAGGAATCTAATTTGCTTTTTCATAACAAAAATTTACTTACCCTACTTTACTGAGAGCACCTTCCTAAAAAAAGAAGGACGTTTCATCGAAATCAAAGCACTGTTAGTAGAGATATCGCTATTTTAATATATTTTTGGTTTATTATTTTAAATAATGATCCATGGTGATCGACCAAAAATTCAAAAACTTAACTAGCTTTCAAAATTTGAGGTTTTACATTAAAGGATACGTAGAATTAGAAAAACGAATAAAAATGTTTTTGTCCGTCCGCCGTCCTCCGTAAGCCGTCTGCCGTTCGCGCATTTTCTCCGAAACTACTGGACCGCTTTTTTTTCCAATTTGGATTTAAAATCAGAGGTCATCCGAGGATGATCCTCCTTCATCGACATTACTATCCGCCTTTTACTTTCAAAATGGCGGCCGAAAAACCTGAGTTGCATTAGACTGTAGCGCCTAAACGAATGTACGGATATCAATGAAACTTCCCTAAAGTCCTGTTCTCGACGCCCTGGTTATTTAAAAGTTTACGGAATTTCCTAAAAAAAAAGAATATATATCCTTTTTTGTTTTGTTGTTTTGGTTTTTGAATTTTGAATGTGTTACTGAAGTAACGCTATTTTTTTTTTTTTTTTTAGCATATTACTAATGATTAAAAAAAAGTTTAGTCCAATAATTGGAATCACCTTTTATTTATTTTTCTTTGTAACTAGGAAGATAATGTTACTTTAGATTTATAATTGTTTAGAAATAATAAACCATTGTGAAAAATAATTGCAGCATTTTTCATTCTTATTTTGCCCAAAAAAAACAAAACGATTGATATATATTGGGTTGTCCGGAAAATAATGCAGGAATTTGCTTTAAAAAGAAAAAAAGAAAGACTTACAACTGTTTTATTTAATCAAGATATTCTCCATTACTATCAATATAGTTCTGCCAACGTTTTAGTAACTTTTCCATTCCCTCGAAATAGAATATGCTATCTTTAGAATAGATAAACTTCAAAAACGCATTATATATTTCTCTTTGTTCATTAAATGTTTGTCAGAAAAGTAGTGGTCCAGGTATCTAAAAAAAAATTATAATCCGTAGGCGAGAGGTCCGATACGGCAGAGTTTGGTATTGACGCTCCAACAGTTTTGGTGACGGCACATGTGAGACATGTGGCCGGGCTTGGTCATGCAACAAACTGGACACCTTCTGATTGACCAAAGATTGCTTCATTATTGCCAATTTCTGATGCATAGCATTATTTTGGTTACAATACGATTCGGCATTGATGGTTTCTCCAGGATTTAAGAATCTGTAGTGTATTAAATCAAATGAAGCCCACCAAACAGTAACTATCACCTTTTTTTGATGAGTTGGGGGCTTTGGAAAATGTTCTGCTGCTTCTCCTCTGTCGACCCAATGTCCAGAACGTCTACTGTTATCGTAAAATATCCACTTTTCATCACAAGTAACAATTCTGGACATAAAAGGGACGTTTTTTTTTTTTTTTGCAAAGAAGTAGCACAAACTTCATTACGCTGCTTTGTTTTTATGGTGGTCGTTTAATGTGTGTGGAACCCAGCTTTCAAACTTTTTTACCTTTCCAATCGCCTAGAGGTAGTCATCGACGGTTGATTTGCTAAGGTTAACTTTCGCTGAAAGTTCTGGAACGGTTGTTCAAGGGTTTTCTTCCACCTAAGCCCATAGAACATCGTCATCAAGAGAGGAAGTCCTTCCAACCTTTTTTGTCTTCAAGGCAGAAGTCTTCCTCTCGAATTTTTTTGAACCACCGTTGAACAGTGCACTCATTAATGCTGCTCTCGCCCAGACTTGATTGATGTATCTGGCCGTCTGGGCCCTATTCCAGCCGAATTTAAACTTGTAAAACAAAATTATGCGAAAATCAGGCGTTGAAATCTTAGTATAGACTGAATTATTTATGAGCAGCGAAATGCTACATAGGTAAGCAAACATTATTGTTTGGAAGAGGAGTAACAAGTGTTGTCATTCATAAAAATGAATAATCCAGTAAACGTTAACAGTTTGTTATATAGACGGCTATTTTAAACAAAAAACTCAAACTCCTGCATTATTTGCCGGAAAACCCAATAATAACCAAAAAATATGGTTAGAGCAAAGGAAAAAATAAATAACATACACTTTTTTTGAAATTATATAAAATATTTTTTTCTCGGCTCCTAGGACCCATTGGGAAGAATGGCGGGACACATGTCTAATATTTTTCGATGTAGTGTCACTAAAAATATTTGGTTGAAATCGGTGACCCACAAACTGTATCCTTGTTAGTATAGTTCTCGCCAGGTTTGTTTCGACGTTCTTTTCTCCTAAAGTTTTGGTTATTTCTGTCTTCCCGACCCTGTCGAATGGTGGCGTAAGGTCCCCAAAGTAAGTATAAATTTCTTTGTTCCTTTCAACGACCTTTTCGTAGTATTTTTTTTTTCCTCACCTTTTTGGTTATACGAGGGTTTTCCCGGACCAGTGAGTAAGGGTGGAGGATTAATGCCAGAGTTATGGATGCTTCCGATTTATCCCCTTACCCACTTTTCCAGAATTTTGGAATAAACTTTACAAGATTTACTGTGTAATGAGATAGCACGGTGGTTTCGGCAGTCCCTATATTCTCTTTCTTATATATTAGGATTATAACTGATATTTCCTAATCCTTGGGAAACTCTTTTCTTTTCCAAACTATGTTTAAGTGGTGTTGAAATATTTCCTGGTCTTTTGTTTTTATATTTGTCTACATCTCTGGGGTGATGCCATTTATACCTGCTGATTTACCTATTTTTAGGCTATCTGTAGCATCTGCTATTTCTTCTTCTTCTTCTTCTATGAAGTTATCCTCTCCCTCAACAGAGTCCATCGCTGAGGGTATTTTGTTTAGTCTTATTTATTTCCCGCGTATTATAATATATTATCTTGAAGAGAAGGATGGAGTCAAAATAAATAATATTTTTTTTTTTACATTTGCCGACGTTTCGGCCCGAAGTTTAGGCGTTCATCACGGCTGATGACCCCACCCATCTTTCTCTTCAATTATTTACTACAGTCAACCATCAAACCACAATCATATATTACCTTCTTCGATTTGTTCTGCCCGTCTATTCGTTATTTCCTCGCTATTAGTGAGAATATTGCTTTGATATGTTTTACGACAGGCCCCTTCCCTTTGCGTATATGTCGTAGGCATCTATAGAAGAGCTTTTGATTTCCCTGGACTTCTTCTTCTAGCATGTTCCCGAAATCCTTCCATGCTTTCCTTTTCGATTGCATGACTTTTATACATTTAACCATTTTTAAATACTAGTTACAATGTGAAATAGTTAATATTTTTAAATAAACAAAATGGATGGTACAACAACAACTCTAAATACTTTAATATTTAAGAAGTTTTGAAATCGTGCAAAATCGAGGATATATACACGGCACACCACTTTCGGTTAGCCGATTTTAGGGGAAAGTTAATGTAACATCCCAGACATATACCTACTTTAAATACCCTATTTAAGTTTCGTACGAATTTTTATGATAAATAGACAGCAACAATACAAATAGAGCACAGCCGCTAGCACATGCACGTACACGAATGCTTGCACGCACGCACATATACACACGCGCACGCACATATACACACGCGCACGCACATATACACACGCACGCACATATACAGACTCACGCACTCACACACTATATACGTAACTTGGTTATTCGGACTATGGAGATATCAAAACGAATATTTCCGTTGAAAGCTCGGATTCAACATTTTTCATGATCACATTACTTTCTCTTACTATACATTTCAAATACATATAGGTAAGAGAAAAGAGACATTTCATTTAAGAAACATATACTGTGCTGCTTTTAGTGGCAGAATCAGTAAGTTGTAATTGTCAACAAAAATGGTGTGTCATGGCAGTCAGCCAGACTTCGTAATGTGTTTATTGAAAAACATTAAGGTATGTTTGATGTTCGGAACAAACTAAATTTTTAGCAAATCCAAAAAAATACCGTGCCGATATATTCAGCTCTAAAGAACATACTTTAAACACAAACTTGTCCCTTAAAACTTGTTGCTCACCTCTCACTTTCCATATTGGTAAGGGTTTGAAATTTGATAAAGAAAAAAATACATTTGACAAATGTTATTGATTTGTTGATGTAGATTAAAGTATCATACTGTATTATTTAATGGTGCTGTTGAGAAATTTCTGCTGGTCTGCTCCCCTTTACTGCAATAAGTTTACATAACATAGTGAAATTTTCTTCAAACATTTATTTGTTGCTGTTTCAACAATATTCTGAGTTTTTTTTGGTCAAATTATTCAGTATTACATAGCTAATGGTAATTCAAGAGCATATGACTTTTTAATTTTATAATGTGTTTAATTGATTACAATGTAATATATTTTTATTATATCAATTTCTTAAAGAAAGATAAGTTATTGTCATTCATTGTATCAGTTTTATTTATGAGTCCTTAAGTAAGACTTCTTCTGAATTTAACTTTTTATTTTATGTATGGATTTTTATTCAATTAACTAAATTTTATTTCAAATTAAACTTTGATTGAACATGGGTTGTTGAGCTTGTGACATTTTGTAGGATGCCGATTCAGGCCCCTCAATGGACAGAATTTTTGACCTGTCCTGTATGTTGTAATGAATTTGACAGTAACAATAGAAGTCCTATCAGCCTTGCTTGCTCACATACTATCTGTAAAGCATGTTTAGCAAACCTACACAAGAAGCAATGCCCATTCGATCAGGTATGTTATTTTTATTCTAATCAAGTAAACATGTTCTTTATAATTACAGATAATTATGTTTTATGCGCAACAAATGTATGTCCATATATGTCAAGAATGGCAGAGGATATTGACCTAAAACTTAAGTCAGTGCAAAAAGCATTGAAACATTAGGCTATTAAATTGTTTCACTGATAAGTTATGGAGGATTTTGGGTTTAAATAAATATACACAACCTTTTTTTTCATCAATTAAAACGGTAATTAAATTATAGTTCATTAGTTATGTAAAAAAAAATCAATTTAATTTGAAATTAATAGCAAAAACTAAGTGGAAAAGGGTATTTAAACATATATAACGTACTAAACATTGTTAAGGTACTACTTCACAAGTACCGTGTTTGTTAAACAAGGAGGTTGTTTAATCAATAGAATTCTGAAAATGTCGGAGTGTGTCCAAATGTAGGTGGAGGTGACTGACCAAACTGGTGTGGCCTCCATCTCACTGAAAAAGTATCGTTGAGGATGGGATGGCCGAGCACATTGGGGCGTGGGCCTCAGAGTGCCCAGTTCTGAACATTGTGGGTTTGATTCACACCTGGATCGGTTACTTTTCATTTCTTGGCGGCACTGGGAAATGGATCGTAACATTCCCACTCTGGCAAGTACGCGGCGGCAACCTTAAAGGTAGCTGTCAGGAGTTGGCAAAAAGGACCACTATAGGCCCACTTGCCGGACTAGTTCCCCCCACCCAGTACCAGTACCATTGAGCGTTCGTTCGACCCTTTAAAGTCAGCTAAAGTCGAGATCAGGGATAATTTTGGCCTTACTGATTTATGAATTTTGACACAGATTTTAACTGAAAAGAACTGGTCGGGTGTTTCTAGAAGTTGTAAATTGCAATTTAAATAAAGGAAGGTCATTATGTCTTATTAAGTTATCATCCTTATTAAAAATGTATGAAATATATCAGGTCATTGATATTTATTACTAGCAAACTATTTGAAAATTTCAAGATATTTTTTTAGTATCAAAATAGAAAATAAATTTCAAACCTTTAAAGTTGATTCATGTGCAGGAGAGGACACACACTATTACTTAATTACATCACTAATTGTATTACATCTTAATACAAAATATAAATACACCTTTCAGATCTTATAAATCTGCAATCATTGGCCCCATTAGGTTATGGGGAAGATTCCATAAAATTTAGGAATATTATCTTAAAAGAATTGCTTTTTGTGGTTTCAGAGGGATCAATCCCATTACTGGTACCTGGATTAGGCAAAACATTTATTAAAATTTAAATCAATTTTCATGCAGTGAATAAGTTGCACAAAATTTAATCAATGTTGTTTGAAATTGAGAGAAAATTCAAAATCAGTATACTCTAAGGCAGGATAAGTGCCTTTTGCTCTAAAAATATAAGTGGAAGAAAAACTTACCAATCTTGAAAGAGAAGGAATAATCAGTTCAATTCAAGACAGTGATTGGGTCTCACCATTAGTTGTCTTACTTAAGTCGGATGGGTCAGTAAGACTATTTGTTGATCATAAATTGTCAGTTAATCAAAATTTCTAAATTGGATGACAATGGACAATATTTGATATTTTTTTTCTGTTGGCATTACAGACCTTGTAAAGCTTTTGCCGCCTTAACAAGCCTGCTCCATCTCTGCCTGTATTGCGCTATTTCTTTCCAGTTATCTGCATGCAGCTCTATTACATCTTTGTTGATTCTAGCTATCCATTGGTCTTCTGCATAGTCTTTTGCCTTTTTTCCGAGACTGTTTAGGTTTAGTAATAAGGTGTTTTTTCTGGTTAGGTTATTAGCCCTATGCCCAATCCCCAACCTGGAGGACCAGGAGTTATGGTGTAAGACATAGGGATTGCTCACCTCCCAGTGAATCTCTGAGTGAGGACGTTACCGTTCCCATGTGGAAATTGAACCCGCGCCATAGTAGTCAAAGTAACCGAGTGCTTGCAATTTTTATTTATTGATTATTAATTTTTATCTTTTTTTGTTCACCTGAACGGGATTGGAACTCATGACTTTTCGGTTTCGATAAAAATCGAAACAAGAAGCCTCTACACATCAATTACATTTTTGCAGGCGCCTTTACTCTCTCGACTACCATGGCCTTCTTGGATGGTTGGATGTTATGTTGGACTTATTTGAAGTTATTTACACCTTCCAGTGGATGAAAAGAGTGCAAGAGTTCAAACAATTGTAACCCATAAGGGATGGGCTGTCTATTGGAATCAAGCCTGCTCCCTGTGAATTTCTTGATGTTACAACTTTTTTAGATGACGTAGTGTCACCCTGTAAAATTATGAACATAATAAAAGTTATACTCATGCACATATTAATATTCAGCCATTCTTGGAATTCCATTTATAGTATGATCATGAGATTTTGTGACCACTCATCAAAGAGGATAAACACTTGTAATTGGGGGAAGTATCAGAGTGCTTTGATCTTTGACCTCCTCAAAACAGCTACAGACATACTGAGGGATTGGTGCGCCTGTAATGGGCTAAGCATTAACCTGCAAAAAGTTAATGTCTGCATCTTCACTGAAAAGAGAAACGTGTTTATTAAAATACCTTTGATTGACGGGTTCCAGTTAACTCAGAGTAAGGAGATAAAACACTTTGAGGTTATACCGAATCGCAACCTACTTTAGATTAGACATGGGAATAACATTACATGCAGAACTCTCAATGTTCTTTGGACTTGTAAAAGAACTGTAGGAAGCAATTGGGAACTCAAACCTAACAAAATCTATTAGCTGTATGTTACGGCCATTAGACCTACTAATTCATTCAACTCTACTTTCATGGCACTAAGCGAAGACTGTAGTAAATAAAACTCTACTAAAGAAGTTGCTAAGATTAGCCTATCTAATGATAACAGGCACAATTAATTCCACCCCAACCTAACATAACCTGCTATGTAGGTTATGCTTAATATGCCACCACTGCAACTAGAGGTTGAAGTCCAAGCCTTAAGGACATTCTATATGTTTAACAAGCAATAGAACTGTTTTAATATCCTTATAAGCTCACTGTTGTGATCTATACGGGTCACTGTAGGCTAAACTATCTCTTGTTCTATCTCAGGCTGACTGAGAGTCGTTTGGGTAGATTCTGTCATGATGAGAACTGAACAGCCTTTCACATTTTCTGTTGGTGTGACAGGTTTGCCAGACCTCGACATTTGCTGTTTGGTGCGGACCAATTGTCAGATCCAAAGCGCTAGGAGCTTATTAATCCTATAAGCCTATTAAGATTTGCTAAGGCAACTAAATTAATCTTTTAATATAAAATATTGTCCATTCTAGCCCTGAAGAAGACCTGCAAAGTTGGATCAAAACGTCGGCTTTTAATAAAATAGTTTTGTCACTATTTAGCCTATTGACCGCCACCCCGGACCATCTTCCTTTTTAACATAAAATGGCATACCTATGGTGTACAATAGGTCTTTAAGGCCGCAATGCTTTAGGCCACCTAAAAAGAAAACCGAGTCATATATTTTTGCAACTGCCTTTCATTATCTGAGGCCAAGGATGTTTTTGGCATCTTCATTGACACAATCTATTATCAAGTATTAACCTCAGGTTTTTCAGTTTTGTAGAGTTTAAAGTAGTGTTAATTATAAGTAATTCATTCAATATTTTGTGGGCTCCTTATTGCTTCAATAGTAGCTTCTAACTCTCTCCACATGGAAATAACCAAATTCTTTGTACAATATTTGACCATTCTTCTTCTAAGGCAATTCTTAACTCCCTTAAATTTGAGAGTTTTGTTTATAAAAAAATCATATAAATAAGTTTTAGTTGATATGATCTGGGTTTTCGAGTGGTGTTTTCATTCATCTTGGAGTGTTAAACAGAATCCACCTTTCAGTTTTCCAGGTGGTTTATTAAAGTTCATTATTCTGAGAAAAAAAAGTTGAATCTTGAACCAATTTTTTTTCACTTGGTTGCTAACATTGTTTTAAAATTTCAACATATTTAATGTTTTAAATGGTCCTGTGTTTAAAATTCAATTTCCCTTCTCTGTTGGCTCTCTTCCAGCCACAAACCATTAAAGACCATTCTACATATTCATGAAAACATTGTCAAAAAGTACAATTAAATAACCATGACTTGACATTGAAATTTTGTGATTATTATAATAAACTATTTAAGTAATTTTGTTTTTGTATCCAAAACAACCAAATGTAGTACAACCACCATTATGAATCCAGACCTAGTTATTAACTAATGTGAAAATCCACCAGTCTTTCTAAGACAGAGGGGGATGACTTAGAGGTCCACGTAGGCTCCCTGCTATCTTGGAAAACTAAAAGGTAGTCCAATATTACTGCTTTCTGAAATTCTAAATGTTCAAACCAGCCAGTAGCTACAGGTATGTTCTCTGTGTTTGCCAAAACATTCTGTCACTATTTATTTGTTTCTTTTTCTTAGCTGATACCTACTTAAAGTAATTAATTAGTTGAAATAAATGTGTCTGCTTCACACTCCCTATCCTATCATCATGGTAGAACGGAGGAGATAGTTTTCCCGAGATGAATCTCGGTTGTTTCCAAATATACATAGTGGAAAGCATTTTTGCGCCTTACCTCCAAAATTGTAATGGTAATAGCAAAGACCTAAATTTATAGTTTCAGAAGAATTTTTCCTTGTTCTGGAACTTGGTTAAAGGACCTTTGTCTGGGAAAAGCACTGACTAATAAAGATAGTTCTTCAGCTTGCTTCCTAAGGGTTTCTAATTCATTTGAGTTTGGATCTGATAAGAGTGACTATTAGGACAATATGAAATAAGGATGTGGGATTAAGTTCCCAAGTTATCAGCTATTAGTGCTAATCGATTAAGGTTATCATAAGGAGTAAGGTGATGCTGAAATTGCTGTAATAATTTCATTTTCGTTTGAGTCTTCCTCGTTGACATGAGACATGTTTCAGGTCACCAGTGTGGTTAATCAAATAAGAAAGTAATTCTTTTTAACTACTTTATTAGAACACAAAGAAATTATAACAGAAGAATTAAAAACTCTGTAGTAACGTACCAAAACATGTGTTAGAATTAATAAGTGAGGTTGTAAAATGGTTTATAAATATTAATAAAATAAATGTGTCTGTTTCACCTGTATCTTACAACTATTTAGGGTATCAACCAGTCACGGAAATCTAGGAAATTCCTTCAGGTCGGGAATTTCTATTAATGTTCCACAAGTCAGTTAAGTCTTTATTAGTTCTAAACTTTAATATCTTCCTTCAATTTTCATAAACTGTGTGATAATTAATGTTAATTTCAGTTATTTATGTTTTATTCTAATTTTAGTTTTTACTTTCACTTACCTATGTATGTAATATATAGTAAGGGTAAGTATTGCGATCGTGAAAATTTTTGAATCTGAGTTTTCAAAGGAAATACACGTTTTGTGGTCCCCTGAATCCAAATAACCAAGTCCCAAAAAATGGTCTGTGTGTGATAACAGTCCAGCTCAAAAACGAAAAGTCTTAATGATTATCTCGAAAACCACTCTAATGATTTTGATTAAATTCATCATATCAGTGTAAAAATAAACAGTTATAAATAAAATGTGGTTATTATTCTGATTGATGTTCTCTAACAGGGCTTAAGTGGCTAATTTTCAATATTAGCTTCCTCTAAAGTACCTTTAATTTCTTTCATTTGAAACCATTGACCATTTCACATAAATTTCTAATATGAAAAATTGTTAAATTTAAAATATATAACAATTTGATAAATAACTAAAGGAGAACTAAGAGATCGTAAAGGAGAATAGTTGTAATTGAGGAACCAAAGGAATACAAGCGCACCTGAACTCACCCGAAAGATTAGAACACGCTTCAATACGTAACATGAGCTTAATATAATGCGGACTCCGACAATATTAAGTAATTATATATATGCGGTTTTCATAGATGCTATTGTTGGTATTATTTAATATTTAATTGTATAGATTACAGCTATATAAATATTAAAATTTGTATATGTGAGGGTACTTATACAAATAAAAATACCCACAATGAAATATAAATAAATATAGTCTATAATTTTTACTTTCACTTCGCTTTGTCTAAAAATACTTATTTCTGCTAAAAAGAAGGTGGTAAATGAAAGTTATGTGATGCGCGCACCGCACCAGATTTTTTATATTCTGATTGTTAGGAATATTATGTTTAAATTGAATTAACTGGGATTGTATTATTATTGCAAAAGTAATTAAAAGTTCTTTCATCGGCAGTTCTAACAATATATAATACTAGTGTACTTATTTTTTATTGATCTTGTTAAGTTCAGAAATTTCTTAAAAAACTTTAATTTCCTTTTCTGTCTTTATTGCATTAAAAGTTTTAAATACTAGTTTACAGAAGATAACTTTTTTCTTCAGTTTTAACTGCTAAAAAATGTATGGATTGTGTAAATAAAAATATTAATCTTTAACATTCGCCATTAAATTAAAATATTAACTTTAAATTGTCTATTGGTGAGTGTTGGTGCCACAGAAGTCAATTATGCTTTTAATTCTGTCCGTGTCAACTGTAGAGGATTTAAATACTTATAATTTTTAAATATATTGAAATAGTAAATCTATTTATTGAAATATATTTTGGGCTGAGGAAACTTGTTGTTACCTTTCTTCAGAGTAGAATTTGTGTTGTTGAAAATACGAGAACTTTAAATGCCTTGTTTTAAAACATTACAATAGATGTGTTTTCAAACAAGCCATTTAAAGATTTTCTGTTGCATCCAACTTTTTTTGCAGGACATTCAAATGACTGTTCCAATTAAAAATATTAACTCTGCCTAGTTTTCTATCCACCCTCTTATATTCGACAATTTTTTAAAAAGGATTTGAAGAATTTTGAAAATATTTCTCCTCACTGTGTTCGAACTATTTTAAAATTAATACATTTTTTTTGAAAAGGAATAGGAAGGAAGATCAGACGAAAAATCTTGAAAATGTATACAGTTTAGAGACATCATGTTGATTTTCTTCTTTGAAGGAACTCTTCATCACATTAAGTTTTAATTTTTCATCTTAGACCATTAAATATGAATTTTGCCAAAAAAATCTATATATGGAAAATAATTGCAAACTTGCAATATCATACAAAATATCCCGAAATATGCAATTTCGTGCACCATGAAATTTTGTTAAAACAACCTATTTGGCATGGGTTTGATTAATAACTAACTTTCATCAGTTTGTGAGTTACTCAAAAAAAGATGCAACAAAATGTAGTTTTCAAAAAATTCCTTTCAGTCAGTTTTTGGTAGAATGAAAGGCTGAGGATTTAAAATGACTAGGTTGGCATAAAATGTGAGCCTCAAATCAGTTTTCTGGATATTGTATATTTAAGATTGTAAATATTTGTAAAACTATAGCAGATACAACAAAACTGAATAGTATTATCCTGAAAGGAATTTTTTTCATCTTTAATTTTCGGTAAAACGAGTTTTACTTTATGTCACACTGTTTTCAAGATATACTAAAAAATAAAAAATACTGAAAAAACAAAAAAATGGAAATTTCCTGGTACTGCCAACCATGAAGCAGCAGAGGTTTGGTAGAGAACTTTTATTATATTAACCTCTTAAGTTATTATATTAACAAACACTCAGAGTCTAATGCATCCTCCCTCTCTCTGCACTCTACACTGAATGGTGAATTATGATTTATTTTATGAATCATAGAGCCTGTTATGAAGCATTTCTCATCCAAAATTGTATTTTAGTATTTTTATCTTATATAATTTTATATATATATATATATATATTTATATATACATATATATATTATAATAAAACTATTATGGTTTTAAAATTACATATTATTTTGATTTTTGTTTTGTTTCATGTCCTACAGTATTATTACAAACATGTATTTTGCACATGTGTTGTCCTGCTCGGGATATGAAGTTAATATTTTCACTTGGATTTATATTTTCCAAAATAATACCAGTATTTTCTTTTATGCTTTAAGCAAAATCTGTAACTATTTTACCTCTGCTGGTCATTTTTTCTTTTAAAAAAATATAGAAAAAACTTATCAAAATGTTTACGTTGAATTTTTAGACGGACTGACGAGTGAATTTGTAACTTCACTAATAATTAGGAAACTTGTTTTTTGTAGAAGTTTATAAGTGCACATATCATTTTAATCAACTGAGCTGGCTATTGAATTTATGTGACTTTAAGGAGGAATATTAAAAATATATTACTTAATTACTTTATCGATAGTAATTACTCAATTTTTTCAAAAGTGTCATTTATCACCTTTATCCACTTGACCCTTCAATTAAATCACTTTTTATTAAATTTTGAATGGATCATGTTTTATATTGTCCAGCATTTATTGTTTTATTATTATAATTGATTTTATTAAATTTCAGAAGACTTCAAAGCTCCTCACTTAACTATGTTTTAAGTTTTCCTAACAAACCACTTTTATAGAATAGTTATTTTATTCATAAAATAGTCATAAAAAACACACAGATCTCATGGTCCAATTCAGTGAAATATTTAGGCCTTGAACTTCATAAGTTCCTAAATTCCACCCAGCATATAAACAACAAATTCAGTAAAACAAAAAATATTATTAGCAAAATGTCCCCATATTTGTTCAATAGATACTACGAATTATCTTCAAAAATAAACTGATCTTATATAAAGCAGTTATCTGCCCTATAATCACATATGCTTCCCCAGTATGGAGTTATGCTTGTAAATCTAACTATAGAAAACTTAAAGTGATTCAAAACATATGCATGAGAATCATAAATAACTAACTACCTACGATAAACAAAAATAGATATTATGTTAACATGTTAGCTATCAACAATAAAACAATTCATTTATTTTCAAACACACAAAGATTCTTTGAGTTTACAACAATATCAGATAATCCCATGATCCAGACAATAGGAAACTATGACAAGAAATCACTGAAACTGTACACACACAAACGGACAAAGCACATACTCCTAACATGATAAAACCCAACTTTATAGCATTAGAAATTTTGATAAACAAGCAGCAACATACTTCCCACACCAATAATTGAATAATAATTTATAAGATATAAAATATGTGAATGTGTGCTTAGTTTTATCTTGTTTATACACTTTAAAGACTGTATACAGTTTTTTATGTTATTCATTCATTTTTATAACTTGTGCAGGTTTTTATTGGATTTTTCTTACTGTACAAAATAGATTTCAGCATAATAAATATCAATCTCACCACTTTACTATAACAGGTGTAAGGTATTGTGGCCATAAGCATGTAACCATTATTGTAACTTATTTTGTTGTATATATTTGTAAATAAAATAATTTTTGATTTTAAAAATAAATAAAAATAATTATTTTATAGACACAGATAAAGACCGAAGTGAGCGGCCTGCCAGTAAATGGAGCTCTACTGCAGCTTGTTACTGGGCAGGGGCACAGCGGAGATCTCCCTCCCTGCCTAGCACATCTGTGCCAAGCAGAGAGGGATGCCTACCTCAGGGCAAGGACTGCTATCGAGCAACTTGCCCTTTATCTTAAACCATTTTCATCAGGTAATTTAATCTTTTCCAGTTAGAAAACTGCTTAATACATTGTTAGTTGTTGCAAACCATAAACTAATCTGTTTCATTTTTTATGTTTTAATATTTTACTGAATTTACTGGAAACTTATTTGTTGTAATATGGTAGCATTTATTTTTTAGTTGGAGGTAGTGGGGCTGTCTCTCGACCTATGCAAAGGAAACTTGTGACTCTTGTAAATTGCCAGTTAGCAGAAGAAGAAGGGAGATGTCGGGCTATGAGAGCAGCCAGGTCACTTGGAGACAGAACAGTCACTGAATTAATTCTTTATCATCAAAATCCTGGCCATTTATCAGCCAATCTTTGGGCTGCTGTCAGGGCTAGGGGGTGTCAGTTTTTGGGTCCTGGTTAGTATTTTATATCGCTTACTTCTATTTAAAAATTTTATGTAACCTGATTAATAATCATTAACTGTTTACAGCTATGCAGGAAGAAGTACTCAAACTTGTTTTGCTTGCTCTTGAAGATGGTACAGCTCTTTCAAGGAAAGTTTTAGTCATGTTTGTTGTTCAGAGGCTAGAGCCTCACTTCCCTCAAGCTTCTAAAACCAGCATTGGGCATGTTGTTCAACTTCTTTACAGAGCTTCTTGCTTTAAGGTTTGCTGAGTTTAAATTTTTACTGATTAGTGTAACAGGTTGAAGTCATTAATTTCTTTAATTCAATTACATCTCCGGTCAGGTTTCTAAACGTGAGGGTGATTCATCCTTAATGCAACTAAAAGAGGAATTTCGTAGTTATGAAGCTTTAAGAAGAGAGCATGATGCTCAGATTGTGCAAATAGCTACTGAAGCTGGTTTAAGAATAGCTCCTGATCAGTGGTCAGCTCTTCTTTATGGTAAGAAAAAAGGAAAATATATATATATTTGGTCTTAGATTTACTTCTTCCTATTCCTCAGGTGATTCAATATTTTTACATTTTATACTTTTGGACAGTACTTATTTTCACTAAAGGATTGCTAGCTTTACATCTTCTGGTTCAATGGATATGTTGCTCTATCTAATAACTTAATATTGTCATATTAGGACTGTAAAACAGATTAAATTCCAATGACAAAGGTATAATCGCTACCACCACGTTGAAGAGTTAAGGCTCTTCCCAATCCTATAAATAATGTGAGGATTTTTTTTTTTTTTTTTTTTTTTTTTGGCTTTAAGCACGTCGACCCCTTTGGGTCCATTGTGCGCCAATATTCGCTAGGTCGTCTTATTCAAAACGTTAGTCCTGTCGCTTCCGCGTATCTCAGTAGGCTGGTTGGGTTAACCGACTCAAATCTACTGGGGAGATCCATCTGTTCCTCCCCAAATAACGCCAGTCTCAGCCTTATAAACTTGTCACATCTGCATATGATGTGAAAAGCTGTTTCATTCTCCTCCTGACAGAATCTGCATATCGGATTCGTCATTACTCGGAGATTGAACATATGATTATTTAACTTACAGTGACCTGTGTAGATCGCTGTGAGTTTTTTAAGAGCTGCTCTGTCCATGTTCAGTAGCTGTTCACTTCTTTTTTTACATGGGCCTTTAAGGAACAGCTTCGAGTGTCTCTGTTTCTTGTGGGTCCAGTAATTCCTAAATTTGTTCCCATAGATCTCCCTGATCCTGCCCTTGGCAGTACTAAGGCTGATTCCACAGACAGGCTCGGGAGTTATAGGAATAGTATCTGAGCCCAACCTGGCTTGCTCATCAGCCATCTCGTTGCCCGGTATGCCAGAATGGCCTGGCACCCACTCCACTGCAACTCTGTTGTGCTCAGTTAGCTCGTTAAGTGCTCTATTGCATTCCTTAACGACCTTTGAATAAGCATAATAATTGTCAAGAGCACCTATTGCTGCCTGACTGCCAGTAAAGATGGTGATCCTTTTCTCAGTCACATTGGTTTGCAGTAGGTTTTGTACACAGTGGCAGATTGCCAGTATCTCGGATTGAAACACTGAAGCATACCTGCCAAGTGGTATAGAAATTTTTTCTTTTATATCTTTGCGATAGATGCCTGCTCCAGAGCCTAACCACCCACAGGGTTTAATCCACAGTTCCTTGTGCCCTATTTCTGATTTTAGAACTCTGTCCTCCAGCATTCTCCCAATCCATAGGAGGTCATAGCGTCTATATCTTTTTTCCTTAGCGCATCATTTATGATGTTATAGGGAGTTCTATCAAAGGCACCCTCGATATCAACGAAGACGCCTATCATGATTTCACTCTGTTCTAAGGATTTCTCAATTCTTGTTACCAAGTTGTGAAGCGCCACCTCACAGGATTTTCCTGGTTGGTAGGCATATTGCTTTGAATGTATTGGACTAGTAGCCAATATGTGTTCCCTAATATGTCTGTCCAATATCTTTTCCAATGTCTTCATTAAGAAAGATGACAGACATATTGGCCTAAATGCCTTGGGGTCTTCATAAGATTCCTTTCCTGGTTTAGGAATGTATCGCACTTTGGATATCCTCCACTTACATGGTAGATATCCCAGTGCTAGGCTACCTCTTAGAAGTTCCAGAAGGTATGGCCTTATTTCTGGGAGACCCTTCTGCAGCAGTGCTGGAAAGATCTCATCCATTCCAGCAGACTTGAAAGGAGAGAACGAATTCACTGCCCATTCAAGTCTACTGTTTGTTATCACTCTTCTTGCCTGACCCCACATACGTGCGCCAGTACCACGATCCTGTGTATTGGGGTCAAGAAGTTCATTTACTGTCGTAAAACAATTTGGGAAATGAGCTTTTGCTACCACACTCAATGTTTCTATCTCATTCGTGGTGTGCTTATCGTCATATTTGAGTGTTCCCATTATACCTGAATTGGTTTGTTTTGACAGTATTTTGTTTACCTTACATACCGCCGGCATGTTGTCCACCTCCAGACAAAACCTTTTCCAGGCTTGTCTTTTGGCTTTCCTGACAGATTTGTGATACTCAGTAAGAGATTTCCTGTATGTATCCCAATTGCCAGATTTTTTAGAAGCATTAAACAATCTCCTCATGAGTGCTCTTTGCTTTGTTAGACTATCATTCCACCAGGACACTTTCCTGTTGGTTGTAGTTTTTTTAGCTTCATTACTGGCCAAATATGCTCTAGTCATAGCATCAGTAATTGAAGTATTTAATATTTCTAATTGCCATGTATTGTGGATAACTTTGGGGCAGCATTTGACAGCCTCCTCCAAGTTAGAACTATAGGACACCCAGTTTGTTCGCTTAGGGTCTCTATATTCCACATCATGTTGTATTCTATCAGATATATCAAATCTGATATATCTGTGATCCGAGCATGTTTCTTCATCAGAGACATGCCAGTTATCTATAAGGTCACTAGTCAATTGAGTCGCTAGTGTTATGTCTATGATCTCAGTCCTAATTCTGTTACAAAAGGTAGGCTTATTCCCCCTGTTCAGAATATCAAGATCATATTTAATAATAGTCTCTAAGAGTTTCTCACCTCTAGAGTTGGTGTTTGTGCTTCCCCAGATCTCGTTGTGTGCATTAGCATCCAGGGCAGCAACAATTTCCTCCTTACTCTTTAATAGTTCATCCATTCCTTCTTCAGGCTCTGGATGTTCATATGGCAGGTAAACTAATGTGAGGATAATTCAAAAGAATTAAGACTTTGACTAAAATGATCTTTATTTATGTGATTAAAACTTGTCCAGTTAAATCCACTCTGAATTTCCTGTACCTTGATAACTGCTAAAGGTCACGTCCAAAGAGCTGAATCTCATAGGGTCTTAGTCTTGTGTTGCATCAAAGTTAAAGTTAAAAGAGTTGTTGATCGAAGTGAGGTTACAAGAGTATTGGAAAATGACTTACAATGGTTTGGTGATGGTTGCCGAAGAATGACTAGAATGGAACTGCCTTCGAAAATTTAGGTGTAAGCATTTAAAAGGGCTAGATGATGACGTCAAAAAGGGAAAGGGTTCTATCCGTAACCTGGGAAAGTAAAAGGGTTAAGGTTTGAAAGGTCAATGATAAGATATGATGATCCCTCCATCTGAGAATTTGATATCTTAAACAAATTATTTCTAAATTCTGTGGGAACCAAGACTTGTGAATTTTTCAAAAACTATATTTGCAGAGCTAATGATAAACAGGGCTATCTAACAGATTATTTCTAATTTATGTGGGAATTGTGAATGCTAATGACAAAAGGTCGGCAATATCATAATACTGCATCCTTATAATTTTATTGCAAACTCAAGATCAAATAACCTTTTTAATATGAGCATGAAAATATCTTCTTTTTTTTCACTAATAGGTGATTCAGCCCATAAATCACACATGCAATCTATCATGGACAAACTTCAAAGTCCTGGTTCTTTTGGCCAATCAGTACAAGAATTAGTTATAGCTCTTCAGAGGAGTGGAGATCCAGGATGTTTAGCATCTCTTAGACCACATCTTGAACATTTAGCTGCAATAGATCCAAATCCAGGTCAGTTCAAATTTAAGTATATATAGCTCAGTTAACCATTTATGGGTAATAATTTCAGTAATTTGTTTTTTTCATTAAGTTACCCTGTTAGGATTCAATTACAATGTTTTTAAAACTTTTCTTTTAGATGTTTTTTATTTTAAAGATTTTTCTTCATTGTGACAGTTGATTAATGTTTTCATCTTATACACTGCTGGTTTTTATTCTGATTACCTGTACATTCTGGCAAAATTAGCAATTATTATTTTTGCTGGATTAAGTAAATAAATTTTAGTTTGCAAACAAATTAATTTTTTTTTTTTACCAAAGAGGTAGTTTGCAAACAAATTAATTTTTTTTTACCACAGAGGTCTAAATAAAAGTTTGAAATTTAGGCTGGAATGTTGGCACACAATAAAATAAGACTTCTCATTTGAGCGTTGAGCAACTTCTTGCTTATACAGATGATATCTAAATTGCTGGACGCTTTTTCCAGGCAGTCTCTGATGGATTCTTGAAACTAGTGGAAGCAGTAAGAATAATGGGTCTTAAAGTCAACGCTGCAAAAACCAAATATATGGTTATAGAAAAACTAGACCTGGTGAAAGCATTACCATCAAAGAATTCTCCACTGAAAAAGTGTCAGAATTTATTTATCTCGGATCCTTCATAACTCATGATAATGCTGTGGATTTTGAAATTAAGTGTAAAGTGTTATGTGCCAATCATTGTTATTATGGCGTCAGTCCATATTGTAGGAGCCGCCCTTTTAACCTAGGGAACAAAAATCCTATTGAATAACACAATTATCCGACCGATACTCCTTTATGGCTCAGAAACATGGACAATCTCCATTCAAAACTGACGAGCAGAATCTAATGGTCTTTGAGAGGAAGATTTTACATAAGATCTTTAGAGCTCTGAAAGTTGAACGGTTATGGAGACATCGGGCAAACCAGGAGCTCAAATATTTGTTTAAAGAACCAGACGTGGTTCATTCCATGAAGCTCGATAGATTGAGATGAGCTGGGCACGTGGCTCGAATGGCTGAGAATGACATTCCGAAAAAAACTCATTACAGAAGTAATACACAGAACAAGGCTTAGAGGAAGACCTCATCTTCGGTGGAGTGACGGTGTGGCTGGTGATGTCAGGTTCATGTTGGGAGTGATGAGCTGGATGGAGACTACACAGGATATGAACAATTGGTGGAGGCCGGTACAGGATGGCAAGATTTTATATCCAGTTGCGCCGACTAAATAGCATAGGATTTGAGTGTTATTATATCTATGTCCACACTTCCTCCGCCAACTTTCCTTACAATTCATGCTACTGTCAATAATATTTCCACCATTAATAAAAATGGCAGAGTTATATTTTAATATTATTTAAGAGAGAACAAAAGCACAAAGTTGGGTGTGAAGGGACTTTATGATATACTTATAAATTTTAGCCTTGAAGTCTGAACCTTCCCTAAAATTTTGGCATTAAAATCCAAAATATCCAACAAAATGATGAAATATCACTTGTAACACCATCCATTTTACTTTTAATGTAATTAACAGCTTTAAGCCAACTAAGTACACTAAAAACTTAAAGTACTGTACATATAAATAAAATAGACTAAAATGTATGTATTATGAAATATCATATATCATATATGAGAATGAATCAAATATAACAGATTCTATAATTTTTTTTTTAAATTCATTTATTGAAAAACTAGAGATCTTATAATTTTTTTTTGACTCATCAGTTTCGCCAACTCTCATGAACTAGTTGTTGGAAACACCATGTTCAAAGGCAGGAGCCTCCACACTTTTTCCAAATGGGCCACATTGAGACCTTGACTAAGTTCTGCAGGCCGCATTGAGACTTCTAACCAAGCTCCATTGGCCATGGCTTGTGATGAAAAAAAAAGTAATCTTGTTCAACGTACTTGACACCGTTAAATGAGATTTCTAATAGAATAAACCCATGTAATAAAATTTGATAAATTTCACATTTTAAAATAGTTATTAAAATTTTACCATGTAATCAAAGAAACCTGCATGGGCCGTGTTGAAGGTGCTTGCTTCTGGATCCGGCCTGTAGGCTAGTTTGAGACCCCTGTTCTAAGGTAAGAAGATTCAGGAAGCCATCTGGAGTCACCCAAAGGAGCAGCTAGAATCTAAAAAGTTCATATGTTGATCAGTTCGTAGCTTATTAAGATAAAGATATTCTGATGAGTAAATATAGTCTCAGACCACTACCTAAGTATTGTCAGGATAGTGGCATAGATATTTGTAAAACCAACCAATGTTCAATTAAAGCTATGCAAATTTGATGTGTCTGGGTTGAAGATTGCAAAGCTTACCAGAAAAATCTGGAAGCTTAGTTCACAGAAGAGTTGAGGGGTAGGAGTGATTGAAGTGATCCATTTATGATCAGTGGATGGGAATATCCAATGCCAAAGTGTAGCTGTAGAGACTCAAGTACTTTAGCTAAGACTAAATAAGTCATCATAGTTTGGTGAGAGTGAGAACTGTCTCTTAGCCACTCACTACAAGAATAAGGTGTAAAGATAATGATGCAATGACTTACCAGATGTACCTATCAATGCTATGAGAATAGAAGGAATGAGGAAGAAATAGAAGAAGAGAACTTGGAAGAAAAAAGGTTAATAGATAACTCAAGGCCACTTAGATGTTCCTAAGGTACATTGAGACTTTGACAGTTAGAAACATGCTTTAAAAGAGTTGTTCCTCGCTCTAAAAAGATGCTACAAAAAAGCTTGGGCTTCTTGTCAATGAGATGAATACAAAATGTATGATTGTTATAAGATATGCAGTAGGAATTGTAACGTTTGATGTTGGAGCTTAGAAGATGGAGAGGATGAACAGCTTTAATCAACTAAAAACTGAAATGACTCAGATAATAATATTTTCTAGGAGACCAGCATAGGGGGAATAATAAAGGGAAGTTTCAGTCAGTGAGTCACCGATTACAACCATTTTTTTTTGTAATTCTACATCGAAAAATATTAGATACATGCCTGGCATTTATAATTCACAAAACCAAAAGATGCTTTCAGTAAATCCAAGTAAATTTTTATTATTTTACATCTAAAAAACATGTATGTGCTATGGGTCTTCTGCAACTTTATAAACTTCGCAATTTCCATCCTTTTCAATTTTCATAATGTTGAGAACTTTCTTCTGTTTGTCCGTGATTAGTCTGCAGACTTATTATTTGTACTATATATTCTAAATTGATTTGCCAAATCAGAGCAAACCATGGGACAAGACTCTCACTCTCATCATGTTTTGTCTTTTATTAACCACTTTCAAATTATTACATAAAATTATATATTAAATACAATGTCATTTTCTTGTTAAAAAAATTTAAATAATTATTATTAAATAAAGATCCCTTTAAAAATGAACAATTTAAATAAAGTTGTTTATTTTATTTTTCATATAGCTCAAGTTTGTTTAAATTTTCCCATTGAAAATATTACAAATTTACAACTTATTATTGTCTAAGAACAGCTGATTCCTTAAGATATCTATTTATTTATATTTTAGGAAATTATTAAAAAAAATGATGACTTATATGATGTTAATTGATTATAATTTTTTTCTGAGATACTTATTCTTATAATATTTTCCAGAAGTTTGTACATATAATCTACAAGAAGTTGCTGATGGAGTTGAATCATGTAGGACAGTAGTTGCTGGACTTGTAGAGTTCATGAGGAGTCATGGAGGAGGAGGAGTTGGGGGAAAGGGTAGTCCAGGAGAGCATGGGAAATATAAGGTGTCGCTTTGCAGAGATTTGGCATTAAGAGGATCCTGCCCTCGAGGACCCAATTGTACTTTTGCTCATTCTGATGATGAACTTGACAAGTTAGTTCCTTTTTTGTATTTATCTCATTATATAAAAGAATAATGAGTTTTTAAAAAAATAACTGAATAAAATTGTTCTTTATTTCTTTCATTCTTCAATAAGAAGATTTATAGCATGTTTGTTGCACTATTTTATGGTTAACACTGCCTAATTTCTTCATATAAGCTCATTTTTATTTGTTTAGTTAAAGATTAAATTTGTAATTAAGATGCTAAATAGTAAAACTGGCCCTTGGAAGTAATTTTATCTTTGAATTTGTATTATATTTTTTCATTATGGATTAAATTCTCAAATATTAAAAAAACAAATATTCTTTCTAAGTTGTAATGCTTTACTATTTTGAAAAATATCTAGTGAAAATCCTTTCAGATACCCTAATACAAATACATTTTTCTGAAATGGTATTACCTCTATATTAATGAAATAATATTAGTGGGTTTTTAAGTTCAAGTGGTTTTATTACAATTTAAATAAAATAAACTTTAATTAAATTCGCAAGTTACATTTACAGGGAAACGTTGCTAAAATCTCTCTAGGTACTCTAATACAAACAATCATGTAATGTTTTCCTGCTCGAATAATAGTACATCTCAAAAAAATGTTTTGTAAACAGCTCAATTGTAATGGTTGCAAAGAGATCCTTATAGAGTTCAACTTGGTTAACCTATCATGTTTTAAAATAGTTGCTAATAGGCAGATCAAATTAGACTTCATTGATTAGCAGAAAATTATGAAATAATTTGCAAGATCTTGTACTAAAAAAATTCTATGAGCTTTTTGAGAATTTCTATTAAGGGTCTATGGTAACTCCATTTGAAATCATCCAGACCATGTTTTTCAACATTTTTGGTTTTTATAGTTCTTTTACCAATTAATTCATATTTAATTGAGTGTTGAAAATCATTTCATTCATTCATTCCAATGGCACTACAGTCCGATGTAGACCGTGGCCTCCTCAATGGGCCTTCTCCAGGTGGCTCGATCTTGTGCAGCCACTCTCCAATTCCGTATTTCCAAAAGAACCCCAGAGCATCCTTAATTACCACATCTTCCAATCTTAGCTTTTGCCTTCCTCTTTCTCTCGACTGGTCCAGTTTCCCCAATAGCAGTTTCTTCCTTGCTACATGGTCTACCCATCTCATTCGACCACTATAAAATGAACGATGTTCGCTTCTCCAAAGAGTTCATATACATCCCTATTATAGTACCTCCTCCACTGGTTACCTTCCACTGTTTCCAAAAATATAGTGCAAAATCTTTCTTTCAAAGATAAGAAGTTCTTTCTCTTCTGAACTATTCAGGGTCCATGCCTCTAATGCATAGGTTTTAACTTTAATTTAAAAAGTTGTCACTTGGTCTGATGAGGCAAGGCCTACTACTAAGGTGTTTCCTCAGGCCAAAATAGCAGCAATTGTCCTTACGCATTCGTTGGCTGTTCTCAAGAGATATGGCACTCCAACAGCTAACTATTGACCCCAAATACGTGAGTTGGTCAACACTTTCGAACTTGAACGGTCCAATTGTGACAGGCTACTTGATTGAATTGTCCATTCCCGGGCCAGCTCTCATATATTTAATTTTTTCCTGGTTGACAGTTAGCTCTATGTTTGGAGCTTCTTCCATTATATTAGCATCTTTTAAGGTTTTCAAAGACTTAGCCGTATTGTCCAAATCGTCCGCGTAGCCAAGCATCTGTACCATGCTATCGTAAGTGGTAGATTCAATTCCAGCCTTTCTTATTACCCTTTCTAAGGCAAGATTAAATATTAAGCAAACTAGGTAGGTCATCGCCCAGTCTCAGTCCCCTCTTTGTGATGAATTCTGGGAATAAATTTCTTAAATGTTTCTGCTAATGTTTATTGCATTAAGGCTATATCTTCTTTTTTAGGATTGGGGAGGGAGGAGGAAATTTGTTTATTTATATTTTTATAAAATTGCTGAATTGGTAAATGTTGCCGTGATTGTAGGGTTAATTTATATATATTTATGATTTTAATGTTTTCAGATTTCGGTCAAAGAATAGAAAGTCCAATCGTAACCCTAGTGTAAAAGAAGACGACATTCAGCACGAGGATATAATTTACTGTAATGAAGGTTAGTATTCGTTTTTCCTTTCTTCTTGAATCTCATCATTTAAATGTTTTATTCTATGGATGGTGCTATTTTATAATAAATTTAAAGGTAACACTGATTATGCAGCATACTCTGGTGTAACTCAAAACGCAGCATTTGCAGCTAGTCAGCACACTAGTTTTCAACAACCCTCTTCAACGCCATTTCCTTCTGATATCTACAAGTAAGGAACAAATGAAATTGTATAACGTTTGATTTATAAATGATTCACAGTTTATGGTTTTAAATATATATATTTTATATATCGGATAATATATAATTTCAGTTCTCCCAGGCATGGAAATGTTTTGGTACGGACACCCTTTCCTCAAGCTCCTCCTCAGCCACCTGAGCCTAAAGCAACTATATGGAGAAGACAACCCCACTTCAGTAATTCCAAGGTAAAATATTCAGGGCTGTTCTTTTATTCTTTAATGATAACATGTGGCTTATTATTAATTTTTGTATTTATTTATTATTTATAGTATTTTTATATTCAAAGAACTTCTGATATATATATATTTTTTTTTTTCCAGAGAGGAGTAGCTTCTAGTTTGGCTGTATTGCAACATAGGAAACAGGAACTTCTAAATCAGCTGGAAAGAGTTGTTGCACGTTGCAATAATAATCCTATTCCTCAGGTTTGTTTGATTATACTCTAATATTATCAGATGCCATTAAAATATAATTATAGTTTATTTCTCAAAGTAATATAAGTAGTTTTAATGGAGACAGCCATTTGAAATCACCGGAGTTCTGTGATAACTCCCAATTTACATGATTTTTCAGTTCATACCCCCCAGATACATTATAAATCTATTTTTACTTTCACTTACATATATATGTAATATATAGTAAGGGTAAGTATTGCGATCGTGAAAATTTTCGAATCTCAGTTTTCAACAGAAATACATGTTTTGAGGTCCTCTGAATCCAAATAACCAAGTGTCCCAAATGGTGTGTGTGTGTATGTTAACAGTCTAGCTTAAAAACGAAAAGTTGTACGAAACTGATATTATGTATTTAAGATAGGTATATGCATAGATGTGACAGTAACTTTTTTGTTACAATCGTCTAACCGGAAGTGCCACTTTATATGAACGCTGAAACACATTTTTACAATTTTCTCAAAAATGGCTCTAACGATTTTGATTAAACTTGGTGTATCCTTGTATAATTAAGTGGTCTTTAATATCATTTAGGTCTTATCCCCGTTGATGTCACTTTACAGGGCTTAAATGCCCATTGTTCATATATGTCTTCCTCTAAAGTACCTTTAATATGGTTTATTTTAAAAAGTTAATCATTTCGCATTATTCAGAGTTACGAAAAAATGCTACATATAACTTTTGAAAGAATTTGATAAGTTAATAAAGGAGAAAAAAAAATAAAAATGCAGAAAAACATGCGTTGCTATAGACTGCAGCGCCTAAACGAATGAACCGATTTCAATGAAACTTCGCGTAAGTCATTTTTTCGACACCCTTTAAATTTATCTATATGATATACTTCAACGGAAAGAAGCTGGAAAAAAAGTTACGAGGGATGGTAAAATTAAATTCCGAATAACTCAGAAAGTATACACTTTTTTGTGGATATTGTATATGTTTTTTTAAAACTTTATGGAATTTCCTAAAAAACCAAAAAAAAATGCGTTAAAATTGGACAATTAGGAAGAAAGATATGGTCTCTAGTTTTTCCCCGAAAAAGGCGAAAATTTGTATAAATTTAAAATATACTTGTTTAATTGTTGAGACTAAAAAACCTTTTTCTACAGATATTTAATAAAGTATCTTTCCTAAAAACATCTTTTTAAGTACCTAAATTTATACCTTTATTCTCAGTTCTATATTTCAACACTGCAATCACCACCTCCGGAATCAACTTACTCACTGTCTGCATAGATAACTTTTTCAACTAAAAATATCACTAAAATGACATTACTCAAAAATGTTGAAATTCGAGTTAGTCATTCGGTGGTTTATAAAAGCAAAGAAAGTTGTGTGGTTTATAAAAGCAGATGGAGTGACTAGATTTTTATTGCCTACCGTTGATATATTAAATAGACATTTTGTAATTATAATTGTCTTAATGACTTGTTATCTGTAAGCTTTAAGCTTTAGTTCCGTTTAAAATGCACTTAAAATTTTATAATAGTGCAGCATTGCCAGAAAATAATTTCTATTCAAAGTAGAAGAGCGGTAAGTGAAAGTTGTGTGTTGCGCGCACCAGATTTTTAAAATGTTTTTTCTTTAGAAGATTCTTGCAATCTTCACACAAATGCTTGCAGAATTACAATCCATAGCTCTAGAGGAGTATTTAATATTATATTTTAAAGCTTATTATATAGCCTTCACATATGGTATGTAATATGCTTACCTTAAAATTTGAAGTTTTGTTTTAGTTGTTTGGCAAATTGTGAAATAAAATGTCAAAACATGTCTTTGATTTCTGAAGGAAATACATGTTATTCAGACATATTTTGGTTAAATCAATTCCAAATTTCTAGATAGAAAAATGATGGAATCAAGAGTAAATAAAATCAAAATGTTAAGATGCTGTACTGAAGTATCAATTTATTTTAATTTTTTGGATATTGTAAATTTTAAGATTTATTATGAGGTTATCGAGGGCCAAGATACAGCAACACATGAAATTTTATCACCATTAAAACCATTTAAGCATCAGATGCTGTTATATTATATAATTAAGGAATGTGTGTTTATTGTCTTAACCCAACCTAAGAAATAATTTGTAATAATTGTGTAAAATAAAAATAATTTGGTTAAGAAACTGTTTGTTTACTTTTCAATGGAAACATAACCTAACAATATGTTAGAGTACAATGAAATTTATTATTAATGAAATATATTATTATTAACTATCTAGAATCATCTAGAGTATTAACAACTGTATTGGTTCACATTATTGTTATTAAGTATCTCATATGCTTGTAACTTTTCATGGATTATTAAGAAACTATTTGAACTTAAAATAGTGGTTAAATAGTTGACTGTCATAAATAATGGAGCGAAGAATAGTTGGGGTGATCAGTCAAATAAGAAGGCAAAAATAAATGATACTATTTATTTTTGCCTTCTTATTTGACTGATCACCCCAACTATTCTTCTCTCCATTATTTGAACTTAGGTACGTTATTGCATTACCGAAAAATATAACAATGGAAATTTTTTATTGTTGATAAAACATTGTTATTGTACATGTATTTTTTGGAATGAAAAGAGATCCTAATTTGTTTATTATCAGGTAATTGACATTTTATAAATTACATTTCTTTATTTTATTGAGAAAATTTATTTATGATTTTAATATTAAAATTATCTTTATATGGAGTAAAACATTCTCTCATATCTCTTTTAATAATCTCAAAGAAATGTGTGGCCCACATTACCAAGGTTTTAAATTATATATCTACAGTTTAAAAATTAATTATGTCAGGAGGTGCAGACTGGACCAACTAATTTTGCTGTCTGGAATTCTACTAATGTGGTCCCCAATAGTTCACCCCTTTTAGAGCAGTCTCTTATAAGCCAGCATAGGCCTCTACTTTATAGGTATGTATTGCAACAATATTATTTTTAAGAAAATAACCCTTATCTCAGCATAATTGTGTATTGATTAATTAATGAATCAGTATTGTGAACTGAACTAAGGAATTCAAAAACCTTGTAAAACTAATAAATTAATTTTACAGGGGACAGGACTAAACTGCTCAAATATCTAGCTAACTAACCTACTCATATGTCTAGTTCAATATAATTATTGTCCAATCACTGTGCCATGTTGACTATTACCACCTTTTACATTATTCAAATGCTTTATATCCTGTATAGTTTTGCAATTTATTGGGGAAAAATGGATTAAACATCAATAAATTGTCTTTTTCTTTCCTCACTACTGAAGATAGAAAAGCTTTTTATTAATGCAGGAGGTTAAACAAAAAAATTATTTTCAGAATCTAAAAGTTATAAACTCGTTTTATGTTTTAGACACAAATGAACATATTTGGCTCTGTACCTGTCTTTTTTTTTTATTTATCTCCTACCTTGCCATTTTTGCCATATGGGGTGTAGGGAGAGCAGGGTTGTTCTAGAGGTATGACCAAACCTATATCTCTATTTAGGTCAAGATTCCTTCTGTGCATCTGCCATAAAATAGTTTGCAGCCCACCCAGGCCAGATTTGAACTGGTGTCGCTAGACTCAAGAATGTTATTAATGAGCAAACCCTCAGCCACCACGATCTCTTTCATATCTGTCTTAAATCAAATCCATGTGATGGGTATATTATCTGCTACCAATAATTTGCATTTTAGAGAATGTGCAAATTAATATATAGATGGTCCCATATCTATTTCATCAGTTCCATCCATTACTTTCAATCACGAACGCTCAAATAAATTATCTTGGGAGTATAAATTTTAAAATCGGCTCTTTCGATATGGCTCAAAATTGGTGAAAAGTTTTTGATTAAAGAAAAAATGGTGCTATATCAATTTTATCGAATTCCATAATTTACTTCATATGCGCTAAACTATCTTCCTTAATATACCTTTATCTCAAATATAGGCACACTCTACTTGGCCCAAAGTTAGTGGAAAGTTAGGATTTCATGAAGAAATAATCAGAGAGGTATCATTTTTATTAAACTCTATCCACAGTTTTTAAGAAATACTTTTGCAGTGGGGAAAAATACTTATTGAATATTTAATAGTTGACCGTTGCATTATAAAGGAAGGAGATGGTCCGGGGTGGCGGTCATAAATAGGCTAAATAATGGTTAAACTATTTTTATTGAAAGCCAACGTTTCGACCCGACTTTGCAGGTCTTCTTCAGGGAGTCAGTGTATATATATATGTATGTAAAATAGAGATATGGCTCAAAGGTAATAAAGGATTCGTTAACCTATGGATTAGGTATTAAATTTCCTCAATATAAATACATTCCAAAATTTCTTGTCAATGTTTTTCCATACTTGTTGTGACCATACTGGCAGGTATTTGGTTAGTAGCATTTTTGTTTTATAATCTTAACTGGGACTATTTCATCATTATTATTTACTTATTTTTTTATTATAATTTTTTTTTAGATCTGATTCTGGTCTCACTGAAGAAGAATTTATTCCTTTTGATCCGCCCATTGTCAGCAAATTTGGTCCTATTTCAAGAGAAGGTACCAAACCGCCATCTTTTAATGAACCTCCTCCTCAAATAGCCTGGCTTTTTAACTCTCCCCATGGTTTGTATTCTATAAGATACTAACTGAAAGTTATTTTTTTAACATCAGATTTCTAAACAATTAATTTGATTTTACAGGTGGATATCTTGGTGACATTGTACAACCGATGAGAGATGGCTTTATCGCAGTTGATCTGTATCGTCCAAATACACAAGATGTACCCCCTACATCTGAGTAATTAAATTTCATTTATTTTTATTCCATTATTTCTGTTGTTTCTTTCTATGAAGTATTTGTTTTTTATTCCAGTTTTCTAGTGGAATCTCAAAAGATGAAACTTCAGTTGAGAACTTTAGAAAAAAAGATAAATGATCTAAAGGTAACTTTATTTAAATTACTCCTTTATTCTTTGCATTTAGACAGTATCTTTGTTTATCTAAGACCTAATTATCTACACCCGTCACCATTGTTCCAGTGTAGGTATAAAACTAAATTCCCTTTTCTTTAATAATTAATAGTAACATTTAGCTTGCTCATGACAGTCTATGGTTTAAATCTCCTTCCCCTGGCACTCCAGTCCATGAATAAATATTTACAAAAATCTTCATGTATTATTTCCTTAACATTTTATCCTTTCTTGAGTTCAAATAATCAAGTCCCGCAAAATGGTCTATGTGCGTATGTTATCAGTCTATGAAACTGAAAATACATCTTTAAGTCAGATTTATGCCTGGGTATGATGTTACAGCAACTTTTTCGTTAAAATGGCTAACCGGAATGCTCTTTATATTACTTACAAATACAAACTTGACCTTGTTGCCATCCAGGAAGTGGAATCTTAGAAAAGAAAAAGCATTCCATATATTATAGCTGCAATGATAGGCTTCATGAGTTTGGTACTAGGTTTGTTGTGGGAGACTCCTGTAGGCGACTTGTGATTGGATTTAAAGCCATTAGTCTGCGAATCTGAAAAATTCTATAACTATATTATTCTTAGAGTCCATGCTCTCATGGAAGTAGCTAGCAAAGATGAGAAGGACGTTTTATGATCTTGAAATGACCTTTGATGCATACCCTGGATATGATATGAAGATAGTTGCAGGAGATTTCAACGCGAAGCCAGGAAAGTACATATCTACGCCCCTACTGTTGGAAAGCATAGTCTTTATGAAGATATCAATGATAATGGAGCTTGACTGTTGAACTTTGCGGTATCCAGAGATCTTGTTGTGGGTGGGAGGAAGCTGTGAATAGGCTGAAGAACCACTAGGCTCCAGAGTGGGATGAACTCTCTGCTGAACTTTTATGATATTGAAGCAATGAACTAGTGAAGGCATTTCAAAAGCTTTTTATCTCTGTGTGGAAGGATGAAGTAATATCCTCAGCATGGAGAAAATCGATGGTCTATCCGATTCACAAGAAGGGTAATTGCTTAGCGTGTACTAATTACAGAGGTATATTCTTACTGACTTTCGGATACAAAGTCCTCTCAAATGTACTATTCACACGTCTCCTTCTCTACGCTGATAGAATAACTTGTCCCTATCAATGCGGGTTTCGATGTGGAAAATCGACTGTTGACCAATTATTTGGTCTGAAAACCATATTGAAAAGAGGACATGAATTTAAGCAGAAGACACACCATCTCTTCATCGATTTTAATCATGATGAGCTCTAACTAGCGATGGAGGAATTTCATGAAATGAAATGAAAAAATAATTTTATTCTGGGGCTACTGTTCCGTAAGAATAATAACAGAGTTACAAATTTATGGGTCTTAGTCTGGTTTAGAATAATAAAAAATACAAACTAATTAACTGTTGATTGTTATTACAATTGTACCGTAGATTGAAATTAAACAGTATACAGATGCAAGTAATTTTACATATTTGTGACAGTTTGAATGTGGAGTAGGTGGTGAAACAGGAGTTGTTTGAAGGAATTCGTGTACAAGGATTGACGTATTTCATATCCCTCAGAAGCTCATATGTATGGTGAGGCTGACCATGAACAAGGTGTTCTATTCAGAGCGCCTTGGTGGAAATCTAACTGAGTAATTCCAAGGGATGAAGGGCCTAAACATATCAAAGACATTAAACAGTTATTCTAGAGATCCCAATATCAAAAATTAAAGTAAAACTTAATTTCCAGATATGAGTGGGTTGTATTCATAAAAAGAACACTATTCTATAAACAAAATAACGAAGCAAACATCTAAGGCATGTCACTAATGTTAGTAGAGAGAGAAACACTTTATTTTCAACGGCAGGGTTACGCCCTCGCATTACTTCTGTTCAATATTGCCCTCGAGAGGGCTGGGAAAGAATTGGGCATACAGATTGGTCAGACAATATTTAGTCAGAGCATGCAACTACTGGCTTATGCGGACGATGTTGGCATCATTAGTCGCTCTCAACAATCTGTCAGGGAAGCTTTTCTAGCACTTGTAGGTCCTGCAAGGAAACTTGGGCTCGAGGTGAACCACAAGAAAACCAAATACATGGTGACTGAAGAGATGCCTGGATGCAACGCGTCGGTTATATTCGAAGTCTACCGAATTGAGCAAGTCATCTAATTTATTTATCTAGGCTCTATGGTAACACAGGAATACAGTGCAGAAATGGAAATTATAAGGGAGATAATCTCTGCCAATCAGTGCTACTACAACCTGAAAAAACTGCTTGGTGCCCACATTCTGTCCTGCCAAACTAAATTACATCTTTACAAAACCATAATCCACCTAGTGCTGATATACGGCTCAAGAACATAGACTCAGACCAACATAATGAACAGATTCTCCTTGTGTTCGAGTGGAAAATCCTTCAGAGGATATGTGGAGGGAGGAGTGTTGATGGGTGGAATCTGGAGGAGTCGCACAAACCCGGAGGTTGCCTTTTGGAGCCTCAGATACCTAATGACGAGAATCATCTACAAGAGAGTTGTGCTGGGTATACTGAGGTATGCATCCCCATCGTGGAGTCGTCGCCTGAATCAGGTGCAGAAGAAGAAGATGGCCACCATACAGAGGCTTGCCCTGCTGAGGCCGCCTAGGGCGTATAGGACCATGTGCAAGTGCTGGCCGGGAAGGTGCTCCTGGACCTCATCCTTCAGAAGGACGCTTGGAGGAATGACCTAAAGAGGCAGAGACTGGAGGCATTCCCAGAGGGTCGATGAGTATCCAGGAAGATGGAGTGGCGTAGTCCGAAAAGCAACACGAGAAGAGTGTTGAAGGCACATTGGATTGAGCCAGACTGCTCTGCTGGACCTCACAGATGCTGACGGGACATGGGGAGGGTTTAAAGACAAACTCAGGAAGCATGGAAAGAACATCAACCCCTTATGTACTGATTGTGGTTTCCCTGATATGGGTGAGCATGTGGTTATATCTTGCACCGCGATGGAGCAAGCCAGAGGCATATTGATGCAGAGGACGGGGCTGTATGCCGTAGATAAAGTGGAATTTCACCGACTGATGGAAGAGGAGAAATATCCCCACTTCGTGGAGTCCGTGGGAAGATGGAGACAGTAGGTGGTGCCCATTCACTTCACGATAGGAAGAGGAATTCTAAGAGAGGAATAGGAAGGCCAGGAAGAAATGGACCAGCAGAGGCAGAGGAAACGATCCAGGAGGGCAGGACGCGCAACCAGCTGGAGACTAAAGGTGTGGCGCCATCAGTTAGGTGCACACCCGTGCACCGGGCCACATCACAGTGTATGTTTAAATTGAATATAAATAAATAAAATATTGAGCCTTATTGGCTGCAGTAGACATACGTATTCCCAATGTATTTATCCACTACTGCCGAAACCCCTTATGGCAAAAGTGCCAGGAAGAGGAAAAAAAAAAAAAATTAAATTGGGCTGTTTGCGGTGGGCGGGGCATGTGGCGAGCATGAGCAAAGAAGAGTTGCCCAGGAAGCTTTTGATTGAGTCTCTATTGAACAAGAAGACAAGGAAGACCAAAGTATAGAGATGGTTTAATGAAGTTGCAGCTGAAATTGGGAACATCCTTCGAGTGTGACAATTGAATGGTAACCATGGCGATTGTCGGCGAATGGCAACAAGTTGTAGCGCTGTAAGGGGGCGGGGTGGCCGAATGGGCTAAAGCGTGTGCACAGCACCGCTAGTTGCCTGGCAACCGGATAACAGAGATTTGAGATGATTTAAAAAGTACAAGTTCGCCTCCCGGTGCCGGAGGGGATTTTAAATTCCCCGCCCTCACCCCCCGGCCCGGGAAAATCCCGTATAGCCTAATTGGCGTAGTAGGGAAGAAGAAATAAATAAAAAAAAAAAAAAAAAGTTGTAGCGCTGAAATAATAATAATAACAGCTCTTATCCACATTTCTTCAATGTTGGGGTTTTGAGTATTTTTTACTTTCACTTACCTATATATGTAATATATAGTAAGAGAAAGTATTGCGATCGTGGAAATTTTCGTATCTGAGTTTTCAACGGAAATACAAGTTTTGAGGTACCCTGAGTCCAAACAACCAAGTCCCGCAAAATGGTGTGTGTGTGTATGTTAACAGTCTAGCTCAAAAACGAAAAGTTGTACGAAACTGATATTATGTATTTAAGATAGGTATATGCCTTAGATGTGACAGCAACTTTTTCCTTAAAATCGGCTAACCGGAAGTGCCACTTTATATAAACAGTAAAACACATTTTTACAATTTTCTCAAAAACGGCTCTAACGATTTTGATTAAACTCGGTCAATCAATTGGGTCTTATCCTCATTTATGTCACTTTACAGAGCCTAAATGGCCAATGGTCATCTTCAATATGTTCATATTTAATATGGTTTATTTTAAATAATTAATCATCTCACATTATTAAGAGTTATGAAAAAATGCTAAATATAACTGTTGAACGAATTTGATAATAAAATAAAGGAGACAAAAATAAAAATGCTTATCCAGGTCGAAAATAAATCTCTGAAAATACTAGTCAGAAGGTATACGTATAATATATCGTTGGAAAGCAGACAATTTTAGAAAAAACAATATCTAATTTAGAAAGTTGTAGAAGGTAATGGAGAGTGGCAAAATAATTATAAACAATAATTTTTGAAAACTAATATTATTTAACATAAATCACATGTTCTCAAGGAAATGAAATGAAATTTACTTTCTAAATGTAAACTTTTAAAATATTTTTAAGTTAGAAACAAATATTTAAAATCCACGGATTCAAGGCCATTACACTATTTCAGATATTATTTCATTGTACTTGTGTGAAAGAAGTGAAATACAAAAATATTTCATGGTTATGTTAAATATATTTACTGTAGTTTAATCACTCTAGATCTGATATCATACTTAAATAATTAGGTATCTATCATCTGTTTATTCCGAAAAATCATGTAACCTTTCAGAAAATTAAAGTAGTGAATAGTTTGATGAAATTTATTTTTGTGATATTCCAACTTCCAATTAGTGTGACAACTTTTGACCTGTCTATGACAGACAATGCAAATCTCCTAATTCCATTTTAGTAAACTTCGCAATGGAAAATAACATTTTAATAACTAATAGTCGTACAATCCATAATCAACTGGTAATATAATAAATAGGAATTTTGTTATTTCAATGGTGTTAATGATTTGTTATCTGTAAGCTTTTAGCTTTAGCTCAGCTAAAAATGCAATTATTAAATTTTATAATAGTCCAACATAGCTAGAAAATAATTTCTATTCAAAGTCGAGTGGTAAGTGAAAGTTGTGTGTTGCGCGCACTAGATTTCTTTCTCTAGTTTTGCTGGTCTATTATGCAACTTTCAATTCACAGTTTAAATATACTATTTATATATTGGCTTGATGGTATGAATAATCTCTGATCCTGCTTTTAACAAACTTTTTTATTACATTTTCTCATCTCAGGGTTTGACAATAAGTGAATGAGTTGTCAATTTTTATCACAAAAGTGGAAAAAAATAAATAAACTGAAATTATTTAAAAGCCAAGCTTTGGGTCAAAATCAACTTCTCCTTGATTGCTTACAAATATAAGTTGAAACCTTGTTTTATAAGAGAATATTTCTGAAAAAAAAATCTGTATTTTGACAAACAAATTCTGTAATTCAATATTGATAGTACTCTTTGGTTAAGTAATTTATGGAATAGGATAGAATACATATATTTTCACTTGTTTTGTTTTTAGTTGGCAACAGAAGGTAGTGCTGCTCTGAGTGAAGGTGAAAAACTAAGCCAAGAACTTCATTTAATTGAGCAGGGTATTAGAGAAAGGGAACACCAGCTGAGAATGGTTAGTATTTGTTCTTTTAGTATCATTATTAAATTATCTTTGTTATAGGCAGGCACTACTCCATTACATTTCATGATTTTGAGTACATTTATTAGGAAAAAGTACCGAGTACTTTCAGAACTCAGCCTGTTCTGGGCAAGTACTGAGAGTACTCAAGCAGCGTTAATCATACCGTAATCTAGTATAATGGAGATGGTGATGTAATGCTCAATTGTCTATTGGATTTTTGTAATTTATCCAATTTTTTTATCTAAGAGTCAATTATTAAGTTTTCGGGTGCACTGTTTTTAAAAATACTATTAATTTTAAAATTATGATATCTTAAATAATCACGTTTAAGTTATGAGTCTATCAACCCTATAAGCTTATTAAAATACCCAGAAGCGATGAAACCAATGTTTTAACATATAATGACTTATAACGTGGTGTACAATAGACCCTTCTGACTACACCACGACGACTGTGGTGCATTATGCCAGAAAAAACCTGTACCACTACAACCCATGAGGGTCTTGGGTTCAGTACTATTTAGGGAAAGCACTGTTTCTTGGTTTACGGTTGTGCAAGGAGGTGATTTGACCGAAATCACGCTCAACCGCCATGTTTTCCCCCTTAATTGATTATTTTTAATTAAGAGTGCTCACTTTATAAAGGCTGGGTGTGGACCCCAGGAGGGTCCATCTACTCAGGCTCAGTGTCGCCCCATGGCCAATGAAACAATAAATATTTTTTCTGCCATGAGCCAGGATTCGAACCTGGGACCTTTAGCATCGGAAGCTCAGTACTCTACCACTGAGCTACTCCACTCCCTTTGTATGCATTATGCCAGAAAATAAAAGTGCTCCAGACAGCATAATAGTAGACCCTTATATTGAAGAAATCTGAAAATTTACTACAAATCATTGAGTAATTATACAATCTTAAAGTTATAATATTATCATAAAAAGCATTCCCAACATCATTTTCAATCCCTGTACTCTAATCGAATGAAGCACTAGATTACTTTAAAAAAATGATCAAAATAAAATAACTGAGTAAATATAAAAAAAGAAAGGACTCACAAGGAAAGCTGAATACTTTTTGTTCTTTTTTTACTTAGTGTACTTTTTGCCCATCTCTCATTTGTATAAAATTATATTCATTTTATTCACTATTTTTCTTTTAGTTTAGAAAGTTTTTGATTTATTGGTAGTTACTAGAGTGGTTTTAAAATTTTACAAGCTGGAATGAAATATAAATTGAAATCATTTTCTATAACTACCTGACTGTTAGAGGCATACAAAACGTTATGTGTTTGTGTTAGCAAAACCATTTTTCCTTAATTATCTTTTTGTCTATTTCAATCACTATACTCATTATTTAATATTATAGTGTTCTCAGAACCAGCTGAGTGTGGGTGGATCAAAACCTGTCTGGAATGGAGAAAATTGGCCATCTTTTAGACCTGAAGAGGTAAGGAAACATAACTTTTTTGGGGGAAAGGAGCAACAAAAAATGCACCGCAGCCTTACATCTGTAGCATTTACTTGTTTGATTAAAAACCTTTGACAGACCTTAATTGATCATGGTCTTTAGCCTCACTTATCCACTATATCAATAATTTTTTTAAGTATTGGAATTTTTTAGAATTACTGTTAATTTACAAAGACATTTCTACAGTTGGGCAATTTAGAGAAGTTATAGTTGGGTCTCCTCTATCTTACCAGAGCTATGCGAATTCCTATTGTTGTTAATTCCATTATTTCAAAATCATTCCTTACTTTTGATTCTCTCATTAATTTTATTTATTGTAGTGCAAGTAAAAAATGAGTCAGTTTTTCTAAATTTTGTCACCCTTCTCTGTGTGATCTGTTTCTGGTCAATTTCCTTTTTTTAATATAATATTTTGTATCACTCTTGCTCGAATATTATCTTGTCTGAAGTTGAGAGAGAAGTACAATAAAATTGTACAGCTGCTCAACTATGTGGAGTTGCTAAATGACCCAGCATACTGATCAGTCTTAATTTGTAATATTTAGTGAGGTAGAACAAAAAGGATAAAGTTTTGTGGGACTAGCATCGAAAGTACCGAATATTAAATTAAATATTGAAAATTGTGTATTTTGTCGTTGTATGGGATTATTATTTTCCACTCTTTTATTTTATTTTTTTTCAATTTATCTAAAGATCTTTTTCAAATTATAAAAACATTGAACTTTTTTTTATGTCATAACTATAAAATGTACTTATCAAGTGTTTTCCTAAGAAAATAAAGGCATAATTTGGCTGATAAAACTGTGTTTTACTTCTGTAAAACTGTGTTTAAAACTGTTTTTTAATGTGATACAAATTTTCACAACAAATACATAAATTTTACAATGGATAAACGTAATATCTCCTTATGGCAAAATAAAATTCATTGTTTAGGATCAAAAAAGGTCAGTCCTTTTCAAATCACACAGACCATTTTATCCTACATTTTTTATTTTTACCAGTTATACTCTGCTGGACATTTTGTACAGTTATACAATTTGTAACCCATTAATTCATAAAGATTTGCTTGTCCCAAAAACATCTCTCTAATTAGAATAATAATAATGTGATCTGGTCTTCTTAGTAATTTGTTTTTATTTTCATTTTTTAAGTAATATGAATGTTATATATAGATTGAAATTTCAATAAAAAGATCATGTTAACTTGTAATGCTCTAAAGAGAAGGAGAATATAATTAATTCGGTTTTCTTTTTTGTACCCATGAAATGCTATATCCTCACTTTCTGGCTTCACAGTCTGTAGATGATCCTCAAGTGTAGGTAATAAGTGTACAAACATTCATCAGTCCATTGCCATACAACACCGTCTTAACGTTTTGTTATTTAGTGGTTAATTAATTATTCCAAACTTAGTCAAATATAACAAAACCAAGAAATCCCACAATATATGAAATTAAATTATTCTAATCTGAGTTAACCTAGCCCCGTATTCTAAGAGAAATAATAAATTTTTTATAATGTATCTATAGTTGTGTTGATGATTATGTATGCTCACATAAGCAATTTCCTAAAACGACTATAAATATTATAAGAAGTCAAAAAATTTGTTATTTATCTCATTTTTTTTTAAATTGATGCCCAAATGTAACAAGACTTATGAATTGAACCATATATGTAAGTGGAAGTGAAAAATTGTTCAAAACGGGATCAGGAATGAAACTGCTATTCAATACAAATGTTTTATTTGTACCTAAAAACCTAAATGAAGGAACAGCTAACATAAATGTTATTTAAAATTAATCCTTAGGGACTCTACCATTTTGTTTGTCCAAAGTAGAGGTCTAGGGGGGTCTATGGGGCTTCCAACAGTTTATTTTATTTTCAGTGTCTACTCTATCATTATTATTAGATCTCAATGTAATGTAATTTGATTAAAATTTTATTTATTTATTCCTGCTTCATTAAACTGATTGGAAAATAATTTGTAGTGTAAATAATTGGAATTGTATCTCCTATATGAGGCCACTATAAATTTACATCATAGAATTTTCACACTCTATTTTTGGGACAGGTATAAACCTCCAATTCCTTTGAAATATTCCACGTTAAATTCTGCCTAGTAAACTGTTGAGAACTACGGAGTTATGAAAAGAGAATATATTTTGATAAAATAGATTATTTAGTAGCATTAATTTAATTTATAATTTTTACTCTAGATCTTATTTAAATGTTATTTTCATTATCTTGAAATATAAAGAAGCTCTCTTTAGCTAAGTTATATTAATTTTTAAACTTTTCAGAGGTGTAGAGCACTGAAATTTCTTGTGAATTTTCATAAATAGTTAATAAGAAAAAGTAAATGTTTCATTACAATGTTTAGTATCAAAGCTGGTTGAATAGTCTAATTAACTATAGTGTTTTTCAATTTTGATTCAAAACACTAATGTTCTTTTCAATTTAACTGATTTATATTTGTTATTACTATTTTTTTCTGGAAGTCGTCAGCAACTTTATTTTTGGGAAACTTTTAAAAAATTGTTACTAGTTCTGTTGTTTGCCCAACTGATCTTCTTCATAATAGATTATTATTATAAAATTCAATGAAGTTTATTTTTTCTTTTGTTGATGAAACTGGATTAGTTAAAGTTATATTATTTACAATGGCCAACATTTTTTTAGTTAAATTAGAAAAATGCTATATGATTAATTTCCTAAAACTTATTAATTAATTATGTTTACTAGGAGGATTCTTATGAGGCTGGTATTGCTAATGATATAAGGGAACTTGAATTGAGGTGGGAATATGAGCTTGAGGAACAAGAAAAACGATGGTCTTCTGAAGAAGAAACTGTCAAGAAGTAACTTGTCTACACCATTTACTCCTATCATTTTGGATGTTATTCTTTGTTATATTTTATTAATTTATTTTTCTTTGGATATATATTTTGATATGTCCAAAGGAGATTCGACTTATCTCGAAAAGTAGCATTATTTATGAGAAATTTCATTTTTAATGTCACTTTCTCCTCCGTGTTGTAGGATAGATGCTGCGTAATCCTTTTGTTGATGTAAAGGTTCGTACTAAAAAATATTTATACCTTTTATAAAGATTTATTTTTATTTTATTTATTCGTGTATGCTACCAAGTTATGTTTAAAAATAAATAATAATTTTCACTAATCCTTAAAAAAATAGGATTGTTTAATTGAATAAATTGTATAAATCAAAAATAACTTTTATTTATAGTACATTCAAAATATCCTTCTTGACTGAATTTTTATTATTATTTTTTCTATTAGTTTTTGTTTTTAATTTGTTTACTGCCAAGGTAAATTAGAAAAATACTCTGTCCTTTCTAATTAAATCATGAATCTCAAAAGTCTCTTTAATCCTGGAGAAATGGGATTCAAATGAAATAAACTAGTTTTGGAAAGTTTCCGTTATGTAGAAGATTAACATAGACAAATTATAAATCAAAGATTTATTGCTTTCATATATTTATATCTATAAAACATAACATTTATGTGTTTAATAAATGTTGAAATTGCTAGAATAGATGTTTTCTAACATTTGACAATTATTATATGTTATATTAACAGGAATGAATAAGATTAATGAATTTCAATTAGTACTAAGTTTTTTTTATTTTTTCAAAGTTTTGACCAGTATTATAAATGGCTTTTTAACAATTAATATTAATTTTTCTTAGGCTAAGCAATAATCAGTGAAATCATTTAAATTTTATTATTAAATATTCTCTGTGGAAAAGTGAAGCTATCTGAACACAATTTTGCTTATGTTAATACTGAACATAATTATAGCACTATATAACATAACACACACATATAATATACAATGGGTCATTTTCACGAGACTTGCCAAATTTGCATATATATTTTTTTATATGGCTCTAATTATCCAATTTCAAATTTTTGTGTATTAATGCTGAGTATATCTATCATTAGTGATTATTTAATGGCCAAAATATTGAAATTTAAGATGTCGAAATATTAGGGTGTCCCTTAAGTTCTTTCCTTTTTCATTTTCTGTTGTTTAAGGTTGATTTACTGTGTTATATATGAACCGTTCTGCTCTATTACCTTCTTCCATCTCCCAGGAAACCTCTTATTGCCACATGTTGCGTTGGCTGTCAGACAGAAACTCTTACAGTTTGATTGGAATTTTCTACCTTATCCTCCATACTCCCCAGATCTTGCCTCATCCGGTTATTACTTTTTTCTTTCGTTAACAAAAATATTCTCTCCTTAATAAATGTCACAAACCGAAAGCTAATTAAAAACGTATCCTGATGAACATTTTGTAAGTAAATCTCAACAATTTTTAAAAAAGGGCTCAAAAAGGGAAAAAAACATATTCAAGAGGCTTCCTGAGAGATGGAAGAAGGTAATAGAGCAGAACGGTTCATGTATAACAACAGTAAATCAACGTTAAACAACAAATAAAGAAAAAGGAAGGGTAATCAAATGTTAAACGATTCCAATGGCTGTGAGGTCCTAAGGAACACTTTAGGGGATAGTGAAAACGAATGCACTAGCCAGCATGTTGCCTCTATTATGTAGAGAAATATTCGTTTTGCCAAGGTGGCAACCCACACTGTTCAGCTCTTACCTTAGGTTATGCAAATTCTTATAATTTAGGGGATTCGCCCTTTAATATGAATGATTTTCATCGAAGTGAACTTACTACTAAAATTATAGTGAGTATTTTTATTCACAACCGTGTTACCTTATTTTTATCACTCTCATAAATTTCTATTTTTTATCAGTGAACATAATTAAAAGGCCTGCTGTTGCAGAGAACATTAAATTTGTTTAAATCAAGATGAATCAATAATTATTGTTTCTTAGTACAGAAACATCATAAGATTTTTTTTATACATTGTAGTTTTATTTTAAAGAACATACCTGAAGACAATTTGTTGTTTGTATTTTGTTTATAAACCATATCTTGTTTCAAACTCCTTGAAGTTGATCGGATACTTACTTTGTACTTATTAAGAAAAAATATACATATAAATCAACTGCCCTAAAGTAATTTAAACATTGAAAAAATCTACAGTTTTGGAAATCGCAATATTATAAGTAAGATGAGAATGACCCTTTATATATAAATTTAATATATATACACTACATTATGTGTAGGGAATGAACTTATATTGATTTTAACAGTTTAAAAGTAATGTTATATTTGATTTAATACAATTGTTTCGTAATTTTTAATTATAATAAACGAAAAATATTCAGATAGAAATATATCTACATTTTTTTTTTGTTAAATGATCTAACCTATCGTCTAATCCTGGTTTAAAGAGATAAAGAGATGTTTTTATCAAGAGAATCACTGTTGGTGTATTTGTTTTTAAATTGAATTATTTAGACTTGGCAGTGAATAAATGCTTTATTAAATGATGGTGTATTAATATTAAATGATTTATTCAAAATATTTATTTAGTGATGCTGATGCTTTATAACTATTCCATTCTGAATTGTGTGCTGTGAAATGAATTTATTTTCATTATTTTGAATTTATGGCATAAAGTACATGATAAAGACTTACGATATTAAGTCACCTCCTAAAATATGTATTTTAAAAATTGTTATTTAAATGATATAAACTCATGGAAATTTAGTATAAATTATAAGTTACCTTTATGTGTCGCTTTGTAAATATTTCAGTCTTTCCTTTTTATTTTTTAATCAGTTTATATAATTATTATATTTTTTGAAGATTTATATTGGAAAAAAAAATCATAATTTAGACATTAGTTTTGGATTAAACATTAATTAATTAGTTTTATCTTATAATTGAAATGAATTTTATGTGTATAAATATCTAGGTGATATTTTGGTGTGGTACAAGTTCAAAGAGTCTTATGGAACTAAACCGTTAAGTCCCTGATTTCTATTCAGCTCTTTTCTATACCTGAATTTATCTTATATATTTTTTTATTAAATGTAGCAAGATGTCAAGTCACATGTATTAATTAGCTGTTCCTCAGTAGAGAGGAGTAGTAAATGTATTTTTCCCATAAAATTCACTCGTGAATATATTTTTAAATGACTGAAATTTTTGAAAAATTCTTGTTTAAACTTTTCCCTTCTTTTGTTTCTAATATGCTTTCAATGTTCACTTTATGTAAAGCCAACACACATTGTTATTTATTTATTGTTGATTTTATAATTTTATTTATATTAGACACTTACTGATTAGTGCCTAATTTTGTTATGTCCTTAGAAACTGATTAAATGCACCCTTAAATATTTTATTACTGATTAAAAAGATGATTTCATGTTATAAATTTTGCACCTGTAAACATTTTCAGTAAATTTAAATATTCTTAGAATAATATTGCTCAACATAGATTTCCTCTGCTATATTCACTTACTATGTTCTTTTGATTCTGTTTTCTATTTCAGATTAGAAATTTAACATACATTTCAAATAAGTTGAAAATTTAATTTATTTATTTATCAATACTTTCATAATAATATAGAAATGAAATTTCTTAAAATATCATTTGGCTTTTGGCGAAATCTCATGACTTTCCCTATTTTTGTAAATGCTTATTTTAGAGATTTATGTTTTTCTGAGAATTTTGTGTTTATTCCAACATTTTTAAGGAATATATTTAGTTTTAATGATTCTCCTGTTGCCTATGTTGAGTTTTATATTTGAGAAACACAAAAGTTATGACAGAAGTGGTTGCATTTTTCCAGTTTTGTACTATTTTAGTAAGTCACCTATTATTATACAAGGAGCTTTACATACAGAGTAATAGTTACTGATTTTATTATTATTATTTTACTGAAGATGTCATTTGATCATCTGATAATTGAATGTGTGATATTATAATTATTGTGTAATATGTATAGGTTGGGAAGGTATGGAGTGATGATGATACATAAATCATCATCGTGATTGTAGGTATTTAATATCTATTTAGGAGGTATCATTTTTTAGCCCATGTGTTTTCTATGAAGGCACCCTTGATGACTGAAATCATATAAAAATTATATTGTAAATTGGGAATAAAAAGGAGAAGAGATTTTTTAAAGTTATCTATGTACCATTGCATGTTAGACATGTCTGTTCTGTTGAGTTCTTTTATTCGGACTTGTGTTGTGAAAAAGACTCCGTTTTTGTGAGTAAGACTTATATTTTAGCTATTGTATCAATTCTGTTTTTATTTTATATAAATGTTTCAGATTAAAAAAAAATGAAATAAAGATTTAAAAAAAAAAAAACGAAAAAGTCAGTTAATCTTGTAATAATGATCTTTCAGAAATGCTGTGTTTCACCTTCTTTCCAAAGCAAATATAATGTAATTAATTATATTTATTTCTTACATGTGCATGTTAAATTATATATATTATATATACAGAAATCATATTGAAATATTGTTTATTTCATCTTAATTCATAATATTTATTAAATTATTTAAATATATTCTATAATCCAAAAAGGAATGTTATAATTATCTGAGCTTCCTATCATTATCCTTGGATATATGTATATAATTTTCTGTGCAGTACCATTACAAATAAAAATATATTTATATTTTGTTACTACAGTTTATAGTTTGTTAACCAGTTTTTAATTAAAATTATTTTTGTGCTCTCAAGAATAAAATTATCCATAATTAATGAAATGATTGTAATACTAATTCATAAGTTGTAATTAGATGTTAGTGTAGTTGTTAAATTTGTTATCATGTTGCACATGCAATATTATGATTATATTAATCACATATGTAATATTTGGTGGATTGGGAAAAGAAAATATTTTCTTGTTAGGAAGAATGATGTTAATAACATTGCTTTGATAATGGTTGTTATTGTAACGCATATGAAATGGACTGATAGACTGTTATTTGACTTAACATTATAAGTTGAGTTATTAAACATCTTTTCTCATAAAAAAATTGTATTTATTTAAATTCTGAAAAAGAGAAAGAAAAAATAAAGGTACATGTTTTTCTTATGTATATACTTTGTAAACTTTTGTTAAAATATTTATTTATGTGGAAATTTGTTTATTGATTGTATTCATTATTCTTTGTGAATGTTAAGGTGGGACAAGTTATCTAAAATGCAAGAAAAGTAATTTTGGAAAAACAGATTTGTTGGAATGCCAAATATTTTTAAAAAAATAGCAGTGCAGCAATTTAATTTTAAGACAAAAATATTTTGAACTCTTTCAACTCATTGGTCACTGAAGTGATACTCTGTTGGGTAGTAAAATAGTAGTGGATGTACTTTTTTGACAAAATAACTAATAACAAATTTATAATTAATTTTATTCAACTGTTTTATTTATAGTGGCTGCTATAACTCATGCTCTAATTAATTTCTAAATAAAAAATTAGTAAATGAAGAAATATTCCTAATAAATTTTGTTATTTTTGTCCATGGCAGAAGAAATTCTAAGATTCTTTTATAAAAAATCGTTCATTAGTTTATAAACATGTTAATTATTTTATTTATTTTTTAAATATACTTTTTGTAATATACATCATTTATTCATAATGGTGCAATTAAAATGATATTTTTGTGACCCAAAAAAGTGTGTTTTGGACTTTATAATCCATTTAAATAACATCGATACTTTGTAAACTATTTTTGATGATTGATGCATCCTCAATGATAATTATTTTATTTTGTTTAGTAACAAGATAGTGATTCTTATCATTAATTCAATAATTTTAGTATGAATAAAGGTATCTAACTATATTGAAAATATCAAGAATTAAAAAAAAATTAATTGATAAATTAATTAAGAGCCTGATCTTAGAATAGCCTTGTCGTCAGATGTTGAAAACTATATTTAATATTTGGCATTCTATCGTTAAAGAGATCTTTTGCCCACCCGTAATTTATTATAGAAATTCCACCGTATTTAAATATATGAATGTCATAATTTTCATTAATGTTTCATATTAGTCATCTAATGAATAAATATACCTACAACTATGTTGTTTCTTTGTCTTACTCTGCTGATTAAATTTAATATTGCAAATACAGAGTCTATCAAGTAAAAACATCTATGAAAATTTAATTGTTTTAAGTATGTAAATTATGTCACATTAATTTTATATACTTTGCTTTAATTTTTCATTCTCTGAATTGTTTTATTTAACCATTTAAAGGTGGAATGTTGAGAACAGGGAATGGGGGCTTAGGATGGTAATCTTGTAAAGGCAAGTTGGCTCTTGGGACGGAATTGTTTTTCATGAAAATCTTTTCCCAAATCGCTTATTTAAACAATTTTTTTATGCATTTAATTTTTTGTGAGCGGAAGGGGCTTAATTTCTACCCAAGCATACAATGTTTAGAAGTATAATTTAAATAGATAATATAATTACTAATAAATAATTAATAATTATTTTAAATGATAAATTTTAACGAAGACAGGATTAAAAAATTATTATTTTATTGTTATTACGTGTATAAAATATATCATTAGTATCCTATTTACGTAAAATAACATATGGTTTTGTTACATATGTTATTCTGCTTACCAGGAAAACTACAGGTCTGATTATCTAAAAAGTGATTTTTTGTCAGTATGTCATAACTATATCAATTCTTCATCAAATCCAATGATTGACCTCCCATTTTGCAGATATTTTTCCCCTTCACACACAAAAAATAGTCCTCCTCCCTCCCCCCGAATTTTCCGGGAAAAACTTATGAAGGAAAAGAAACTTTATTTGTGAATAACTCGAAAATTATGATTTTTTCTTGATTGTACTCATCATTATTAGAAAGATTACAAAATCACCTACAAAACAAAACAAAAATTATAAAAATCTATTTATAACTTAATAATTTGTAAAATTTAAACAATTAGTACAGACTGTAGGAGTAAAGTGTGTTCAAATATTTTTTTTAGGAGAAACGGAGTTGAGATTTGTATTTTTCAGCTTGGGAGACCCTCAAATGCGAATTTTCATAGGGATCGAAAAATAATTTCAAATTAGACCTAAGGCAGCCCAGCCCAGCCGGCCTCTTTTGATTTTTTTTGTAAATCACAAAAAGATTGATAATTTCAATATGCTTCCACCTATCCACACGAAATTTAGCAGGGATATAGGGCCTTAAAAACCACAAGAAGTGACAAAAATTGTACCTCCTAAAATAATTTAAAATTATAATTATAAAATGAATACCTGTAAGGAGTTTTTATTTATTTATTCTATATGGACGCGTTAAATCAAAAACTTATTTATATGGTTTTGAATAGTGATAATTCAGCTTTCCGACGGTTGTAAACACATTGAATTAGGATAAAATCCTGAGGAGTTACGGATGTTTTAGTTGATGGCAGGGAAAATATAATGAAAAGTGAAGTTGTTGCCATGATGATCATCTCAGCACAGCTCTTCTATCTCATATATTATTTCTAAAAGGTGTTTTTTGGTCGGTACGCCATAAGTTCCTCAATTCTTCGTCAAATCCAATGATTGACCGCTCATTTGGAGATACTCTTCTCCTTCACGTTCAAAAAATAGTCACCATAATGGGTGACTATTTTTTTACCATTTCAATTTGACTGAACACCCCAACCATCCTTCTCTTCAATTATTCACTACAGTCAACCATTAACCCACAAGTGCAAAAAATAGTCCTATTCCCTTGAAATTTCTGGGAAAAAAGTTATGAAGGGAAAGAAACTATACTTGCGAATAAGTCAAAAAGTATGCATTTCTTCTTGATTGTACCGATTATTATTAGAAAGATTACTAAATTACCTATAAAAAAAAAATCGGACCATTATTTACCAAGATACAGTCCATTAATTTTGGCATACCTAATGATTTCTTCCTCTTTAAAGATACTGTATTTACTATTCTACTACACTTTTTTTTTCTGGTTGATATATTAACTTTATTATTTCGTAAAGGCATTTGTTTGTTCTTACATTTTATGGTTTTTAATAATTTAGAAAATCCCATGATCGAGTCTTTTGTTATTTTTCTAGCCAGCGTTTCAAAATAGGCCCTAGCAAAGCAATTTGTACAAATATTTTATTCTAGTATGTTAAATGGAATATTGTAATCGACCAAGGAAAAACAATTAATTCTTCCTTCTGATAATGCATAAGATCTACTTATTTCCATTTTGTTTTGCTATTGCTTCACTAAAAAACATTTCTGTGAATTATTCGCATGGGCCAACTAGTAATCTTTATTTGCAAAGTGGTTAATTTTGTTCTGATAAGAATTTTAGATATTGAAATACTCAATCAGCCCAGAGGAAGTGAGAAGAAAGACAGAATTAAACAGGAGAAGTAAGAGCACAACAAAATTAAATATAAACAGAACCATACATTAAAACCAAACCAATCTTTACTAAATTCTAACTAGATCATTTTCATGGTCCCCTGATGGTTAAGTATTAATACAATTTACCAATTTACATTGTTTTTATATTAATTTTTTGAAAAATTTTTTCCAGCTAATTCATTTTCACAGGGTGGCGACCAACCTGGAAAAGTCAGGGAATTTTTATAGTTCGAAAATATTTTTTTTCAAATTGGAATTAATAGACAGTGGATGTCCTTTATAACAACCTTAAAGGCCCTAGTAAACTTTGTTATTAAAAACGTATAATTGTTATAATGACGACGCACAGTGGTTCAGAAGTGGAAAAAATCCTTAAAATGAATGTGTTCCAATCACACTTTTTGTAGTATATTATCTCTCCTTAACATCCATAGAACCTAGTCCAATAACTATTTTTTCGAGTTTCCTCCTATTTAGCCCTTAAAAACACAAATTAATGAGCAATTTTCAGTAGTTTTACAAACAATGAATGGTATTTACATATATTTTGAATAAATATTTTCAGGTCTTGATAAGAGAGAAGTTAATGATTTTGTCTTTGAAATGTCTCACTTATGGACAAATAAATATTTAAAAAATTAATTTGGTATAGTCTTAAAGTTCATTTGCTTTCATTGCTATAACTATGTAAAAATCTAAGCTTACAGTAAGTATACACTTAAAATAAACTACTAGTTCCACTAAGCTCCATGCTGGGACTCATTCCATTGGATTGTACATTTCAAAACGTAAATTCAATGAAAAAAAAAAAGCTTGCTGATATTCTCTTATTTAAAGGTAGGAGTGGTTTTTCTATGTGAACATTTCATGTAAAGTTAAGAAATTGTTAGCTGAGAAAATCAACTAATCACCTTTTCACCTTAATTAACATTATTTATGTACTTTTTTCTTGACAGTTAGTACTTTAATCACATTTATATGAATAAGAGAAGATCTATTACAGACAATAGCAGTTATTATTAGACGTACTCGAGTGGAACATTGAAAGTTTTCAAAAAATGTCATGTTAGATTTTGATGAAGTAGAATTCTTTTCTAATGCAATTTCATAGAAAAAAAAAATGTCTTTCTTTCTGTTACAAATAGAAATCTTTCATGATTTAATCTATAAAAAATCTGTTTCTTTTACAATTTGAACAATGATTCAAAATTTTTAAATTTTCCAACAAGTGGTAGATCAATTGTTTAGTGTGTACTTGTACTTGAATTCAAAAACTCTTCATCAGTAAAATTTTATTTTCTTAGCCTAAAAGGTAATTTATTCAGTACTTGTTTTAAATTTTGGTAACTCTTGCAGTAAAAAGTTTTATCTTAATTTTTACAGTCTGAAATAGGTTCTCAAATCTTATAACTGTTTACATTTTAATGTTATTGGGGAAGATTAAACCTTCCACAATCATCTTAGTCCTGGATCTAAATTTTATGGAAATTTATTAGGCTTGAAGAAAAAATAACAAAGTAAATACGGGAATAATAAAGATTAAACCACAATTATCAACAGAACTGTTTTATTAGTAATAGATTTTAGAGGCTAATTAAATGAAAATATCATAAAACAATTTTATTATATTAACAATTTTAAAATTAAAATACTCTCGAAGGATAATATCGTTTTTTTTAAAAACATAATATTTATGTTTGAAGCTTTACTTCCATATTATGTAATTATTATAAATCTATATATTTGAACATTTATTAAGTCAGTTTTTATTTCAATCTCTCTGATTTTCAAAATTTTCGCCCAATAATATTGACATCAATCATCAATACTATTTACTATCCGCACTAGCGGATCCAGGATTTAATTTTGGGGGGGCTTCGGTCCGGAAGCTTTTTTTTTTTATATATAAAACGATAATTACTTTTACAGAAACAGAAAAACAGAAAGATACTAACTACCTGTATGAAATGGTGTTTAAGTGATTCTTTAAGTCCTATTAAATGTAATTAAACGAGCAATAATACTTTAAGACATAATTTTTTAACATTTTTTACCATAAAACATTATTACATTTTACTATTTTGCGGGGGGCTTCAGCCCGAAAGCCCCCCTCCCGTAAATCCGCCTGTGACTATCCGTAATGTATACATCTATGGACGTATTTATTACTTTCACTTCCGTATATATGAAATATATAGTAAGTGTAAGTATTGCGAACGTGGAAATTTTCGAGTCTCAGTTTTCAACGGAAATACACGTTTTGAGGTACCCTGAGTCCAAACAACCAAGTCCCGAAAAATGGTCTGTGTGTTTGTATTTTAGCAGTTTGGCTCAAAAACGAAAAGTCGTACGAAACTGATATTACGTATTTAAGATACGTATTTAAGTAATATACCTTAGATGTGACGGAAACTTTTTCCTTAAAATCGGCTAACCGGAAGTGGCACTTTATATCAACGCTGAATCACATTTTTATAATTTTTTCATAAACAGCTCTAACGATTTTGATTAAACTCGGTGTATCATTATTTAATGAAGTGGTCTTTCATATCAATCAGGTCTTATCCCAGTTGATGCCACTTTACAGGGCTTAAATGCCCAAGGTTCATATACGGCTTCCTCTAAAGTACCTTTAATATGGTTTATTTTAAATAATTAATCATCTAAGTTACGAAAAAATGCTAAATATAACTTTTGAAAAAAATTGATAATTGAATAAAGGAGAAAAAATGAAAATGCTTATCCAGA